AACGAGAACCAATCAGATCAGATTCCAATGGTCCTCGAACATCCATTGGGCTGGTTCACTTGGGTGAAACCATCTCGTCAAATAGGATATTGATATATAGCTTGTCATATGTTCCAAATCCGCTTGGCGACTACCCTTCACTTGCCCGTGTTTGCGTAGCTCTAAGTGAGCAAGCAACCCCTTCCCTCGGGACGGATTTCACGTTCTTGGCAAGCGGCGGAGTCTCCGACAAAATTCCCTGGCCAGGAGAGTCGGATCGCATGACATACTTCCTGCACAAATGACCTCTCTTTCGACCCTTGCATTCATCCAAACTGGCAAACCACAAGTTTAAACAATATGCTTTGGACAGTTAAGTGAGTTTTGTCTCAGTTGTCCCAAGGGGAAGGTGAAAGCCCAACTCATTTTGGATTGTCACGACATGGATCGCAACCGGCAAACCAAAGGGTCAAAAGGTCAGCTTTCGACAACGCTGAAGAGTTGACGACTGGCACTGCCGCCATGTTGCCGGGGACCGTAATTCCGGCACAACCGCACTAGTTCGCACAAACGCACACTGAAACGCATCGCTCACAAGAAGGCTCATGAGGGGGCCAGGGAGTCCATGTGGCATGTGATCAACCCAGTGCCCAGAGTTGACCGAGGAGCGCACCTCGGGCCAAAAGTCGGATGCGAAGTCAAACAGTTGGCTGCATGAATTCGGGCTGAAAGACTTTGAAAATTCTGAGGTGTTGCGAGCCCAACATACCCTTCTTGGTCTTCCAAGGACCCCCAAAACCAGGGCCTTCTTGATTTTGAACTTGACTCCAAATGGAAATTCGGCCCAAGGCCTGCTTTTCCAGGGTCCTGGAAGATCAAGGCCCTGTTTATTATATTTAATTCAATGTTACTTTTATTTTTGGGGATAGGGTGGGTGGGTGGGTGGGTGGGTGGGGTGGGGGGAACAAAATTGTTTGATTGGGTGAACATCTTGTGTAGCCCTCAAAACGAATGAGACACACTTGCACCTAAAACACGAAGACCTTCGTATTGTCTCTAAGACTCAGATTCCAGTCCATGTCAAGGCTCCGAACTGTCTTGTGTCTGGAGCTCTTTATTCCTTGCCAAAAGTCCAAAAACTCATAGCAGTCCTTACTGCAATGCTGACAGCCCCAACTGCGGAAAGTAAAGGCACATCTGTGTGGGCAGAACGCACCAGTCCCCGAAACCCTGTGGGTTGTCCGATGCAAATCCTCGCCTCGCTGTCTCCCAACTGGCTGGAAGAGGGCGGGCGGCTGTCCGCCAAAGGCAGATGGCGCTTGCCAATGTGCAGCGCGGAATGGACCTGCAGAAGGGCCAGCTGAAATGAGCGCCCCCCTTCCACCTTTGGTTCTATCAAGATGGGGATTATTACCCCCGTGACAGCCCTCACTCAGATTTCTAGATTGCTTTTTGAACCACGGCTTTTTGAAAAGTATGGTTTGATGGGTTGAATCACGGCAAGGACGCACAAACTGGTTCTGCCACCTTCCAACCAGCAACCTGAAGCTTCCCAACTCGGTGGGAACTTCAGACCATCCCTTGTGTTGTTTGATCAATGCTATAAGTGATACAAGTCGTAACAAACCTCGTGTGGGTCAGCGTGTTCCTGTTGTGCCCGCTAGCAACGTCACCCGACACGGAAATTCAATCCACTCAAAACACTTGCCATTAACTTGCTGGTGCGATAAGTAGGGAATGTGGTCGAATGAACCCAGGCTTTGGTCCCCTTAAAGGAAACCACCAGTTGGGTGGTTCAAAGGGGTCATTCCATCGTTCATTCTCTACTGAGCAGCAAGACATTCGCACGAAAGGCGACACCACATCCCACTTCCGGAGCTGATTGGCCGCCAGCAACTACTAGGTCCTCCAGTAGAGAGGTTCGAATAAGGGTACCAACTTTTTTCTGTAGTCTATTTTAGTAGGGGAACCCTCCCAACCAAAAAAGGGGTCAAACAGGGCACTACTGGGGAACCTAGCTTGACTAGGAGCAGTAGCAAGTTCATTTGGGTGTGGATCAAAATTAAAGAGCCAGGGTTACGCAGGTTTTAGTCTTTGGTTCCATTTACCAAGGTGACCTTTTGGTACATCTATTCCTCCATTATATGCTCAAGTCCCCTGGAAGAAAAACTAAAAAACAATTCCAGTAGTAATAGATTCCCTTTAAAACCAACACTGGGAAAAAAAAAACAAAAAAAAACATCTTCTGGACCAAATGGAAGTATTTGAGCCGCAGCCACTGGCTTTGATTCCCCCCGTCCTCTCTCCCCCCGAACCTCGGAGACGGTGAAGGGCGCCAGGCCCCCGTTGGGCGCCGGAGATCCCACAAAGGCCAGGGTGCCTCGCGGGTCTGGTCTCATGGGCCCGGCACCCAGTGGACTGGGATCAAGCCCCCGAAAAAGTGGCGCGGAGTTTTTTTTTCCTCTCCATCCACGAGATTCCAACTACAACTTTGGTGGATGAACCATGGAAAATCTCGCCATTTCGAAAGAGGGGCGGACGTTGAATCCTGCACAAAGACCTCAGGAAAGACGGATATCTCGCTCATGCCCCTTCATGCTTGACTGTTATTTTTTCACCCGCAAATTTGCCAACCGTCCCAAGGGTCGAACAAGGTTAGCAAAGCGTAAGCAAGAGGTCCCACGCAGCGAAAACAGCTTCTCGCACGCATAGACCAAGTTGCAAACATGAAATGTCACGGCCATGTGGCTGTGGCTCAAAAATAGGCACCCAAAATGGAAGCCGCTAAATAGAAACAAGAACTAAAACCTGCGGTCCCCGGTTGGTTTAATTTTGACCCACCCCCATGTGTTGCTTTGCTCGTCCAATTTGGGTCAAGGAGCCGCGCAGAACCAGATAGATGTGCACCGGCTGATCTGCGTTCCTCAGATCAGCGGGAACATTGAGGAAAACACCCCCTATGAATCCGCCTAATGTTGACCCCGGATTAATATTTAACACACCCTTTTAATATGGGGCAATATGGGGGTAATATACCCTTTCAATCCGCATATTTGTTCATTAATATGGGGGTGCCCTCTGTTTTAGTGGGGATACATCACTTTTGGAGAGAACACCCCCATATTAACAAACAGGGGTTTCTTAATCCGGGGTCAGCAGTATCCGTGATGAACACGAATTGACTTGGAATTCCCATATGCTGCATGTGAAATCCTGCTTCAGGCGGGGCCGGGGTCGCCGGTAAAGTCAAATTCGGATGAGCTGCGCATCACATATTGGATTGCCTCCAAAACGCATCATTTGTACTTCCAAGACAGGTCAGCTGTTTCGCCGAAGCAAGCTGACTTTGTAGCTCTGTCGAACTTGCAGCAAGGTATAGGGAGATTTCCCAGCAGAAGTGTGTGTGTGTGTGTTGCGATGCAGAAGGACCATTCCAGAAGGCCCACTGTTGCCCAGTCACCCTCATAGACAAAGGAGCCCCTTTCTGGTGGCAAGCCCATTTGCTTTGGTGACATCAAGCAAGCAAGGAAAACAGATGGCCAGATTTCGTACCTGATTCATAAGACTTCCTTGAAGGTCAAACCTCCGGAATTCTCATCTCACGAAGCCCGGGATCTGTCCCACAATTCCGGTTTCCGGTCTCCCCACAAAACCTGGCTTGGATTTGGAGAGCCGTGGACATGAACAGCATGGCCTCACTCAAAACAAGAACGGCCAAATGTTGGCCCACTCAACGCGTCTTCAGCCTGTCAAACTTGCCAGTCGCAGTGTTGCTCAAATGTCATGGTGCTTCAAAGACTTCATGGGGTTCGTTGCGACATGCTACTGGCTTGCAGACCAGGTATCCGTGGGTTTCAGCACGGCCATGTGAGCAAGCAAGGGCAATCGGGCCTTTGGTCGGATGAAGATGTCGATCCTGAAACTATCCGGACTGTTCTGCATCATTTGAACCAGCTACTACGTTTACTGGGTGGCACTATCTGATGGCATGGCCTAACCGCCTTCTTTAAAGAAACGCCTGGTGTTGAGGGAATCCAGAATCGCCAGGCGCGGCCGCACCGATTTCTGGTTGAGACTGGTGCCAAGTATCCTTCATCTACCCAGTTCTTGATTCTGGCTCAGTTGGCTTCCAAAGGGCTTGCGAGCTCTAGCATACAAGTTGCACCCTGTGTCTAACGTCAGGACACTCCGCAGTGGAATGCCTACCTCAGGGGTTCCCTTTCGATTCTGCCGATCCCTCCGCCTGAAGAAAACACAACAAGCCAAAAAGACCTGAGGCCAACGGCTCGGACTTTTTCTTCCTCGCTCTTTTTTCCGCCGGACCAGTTCGCTCCGATAATTTTTTCCACGGGGCTCGCCTCGTCCTACCCCCCCAAACAAAATGCATTCCCAGGCGCTGATACACCACCTCCTGGAACTGGAAGATCTTCCTTGGATTCGGATCGGAGCGGAGACGTCGCCGGTGAATCGGGGGAAGACAAAACAAAGACATCTGGAAGCCATAGTTGGAGTCAACATGGGTGTGGGAGTTTCAGACTGAAATCTGAAAGTCGAGTTCGGCAGATTCAAGGCAATACCACGCAGATCACAGACCCCACCTTCCGGTAAGTGGGGCCCCTTTCACAAGCTCGGAGCACACACGCACACACTCGGTGTCCTGGGCAGCTTGCGAGCTTGCAGCGGTACACAAGCCATTCCGGGCGATTGCTTGCGTTGGGGTCTTGGGATGACCTTGACACCGCAATGGGTCAAGCATGCAGAAGATTCCGTGCAGTGATACAACAAAGAAAGCTCCCCTCGCCAAACCGCGTGACAGATGTGGGCAAAAGTCAGGGGACATCCCAGCCAAAGTGTCCCTTGCCCCCAGACATACAGCTGAGCATAAGAGGAACCTAGTCTGCCAGGAGCACCAGGCATCCCGTCAGGTTCCAGGTTGGTGGCAGGTACTGTAAGGACTCAAATAGTCAGAATGGGGGTAGGGGGGGGGGAGGGTTGGGCTACATCGATACGACAATAAGTCATTATCATTAGACAGCAACCAATTGTCATTAACCGAGCCTTCATATCACTGAAGGCTGGGGAACCCACCAACCAAAAAAATAAAAGCTGGAATCCAGCAAACACCTTCTCATGAGGTGCTAAATGGCTATGAAGTTCAATGGTTGGACCACACTCCAAATGGATGGGCAGAAGTCCCGTTCAAATTACGTCCAAGCAGCCACAATGTTGAATAGTCCCCAAAAGCTAATGGGTATTTGTTTGATTCTTCAAAGCGGAGCTTTCCGCCCTTTGAAGCCAGGGTGCGGATGCATCACGGCGGCCAAGATTAGCGGGAGCCGTGTCGGGAGCGGAACGCCTGTCATGGACGTTCATTGCAAAGTCCCCAGGTCAACGCGGGCATAAAAAACAAGGAGAAAAAAACAACAACAGAAACAACATCTCACAAAAGAAGAGCAACGAACATCATCACTTTTTCTGAAGCCTGCACATTTTACCATGTGTTCTCAGGAATCTCCTAGGACTGGTTCTAAAGCTTGATCCTACAGAGCTGCCGAAGCAGCTGGGAGCCCATTGGAACCCAACACGTGAGTCACCAGAGCTCAAAGCCGATTCGGTACAAAAATGGTCGTAATCCCAGAACCATGCTTCAAGAATTCGGAAGGCGGATATCCGCCACTATTTATGGCCTTGAAGAGATGTGAGTCACAATCAAAACCTTGTACAAAACAGGCCGCAGCTATTTATGGCTGGGATCGTCCCTTGCTAACCTTCACTTACCCGAATGGGTTTTGAGCAAGTGGCTCATGTGCAATGGCTTTATCAAGGTCCTCCAGTAGAGTGCTGTCTAGGTCCGGTCCTCCGGATTTGAGAGCTGGTACCAACTTGTTTTTTCCCGGTTTTGTCCAAATACCGAGTCTTCCCTCGAACGTTTTGCAACTGAAACTTGGGTAAAACATGGTCAACATAAAGTATCCCCCGGACAAAACAGTAGCTTAAGGGCTTCGCTGAAAAGACCTGCTTGGTTTCAGGGCTCACCCAAAAGAGGCCGTCAGCTGGGTGGAAGTTCACGAAATAACTTAGTTGTAGGACACTTTTGAACCCTTTGATAAAAATGGCCACAATTCGGAGGAATTCCGGTTCAGGTCCAACAGCGTCTCGTGCCCCCCATACAGTGTAAATGAAGCGCCCAAGTGAATTGCATATATATATATATATGTATAATATATAATTGTATACGTTGTGATTCAAATGGAACGAGCTAGTGCGTGGCTGATTTGCGGCATGTGGCATATGGTTGAACTCGCAGGGCACGCAGCAACTCGGCCAAATTGAGTCCAAGGATGTTCAAATGAGCTGAACCCATAATGTGGGAGAGAACATGTTTGCCAAATTAAACACTCAACTTGGCCGAATCACATGTCCTTTTGTTCAACGAAAAAAGGATGATGCGTGCCAAGAAATATGCACGGTCAAGGCCACGATTGCCATCTACGTAGATAATATTTCCTGGATGCAAATATGGCCGGAGTCTAAACACGACATACGAGTTTGCAAAATCTGTCCAGGCCGTTTTAGCAACAGAAGGTAATTGCCAAGACCCGACCCCTTCCAGAGCAAAGCTGGTCAAGTCAAGTACTGATTGCATTTGCCCAAGAAGCGATCCTGGCCTTGAATTGTGATAAATTAAAACAAAAAAGCAATGAAATCATGCCCTGATCACACCGATGCCTTTTCTGGAAGAACGCTTTCGACAAATTTCAAAGAAGACAACAGCATCTTGGGGTCCCAGATTTGAGACACCCCCGTGCAAGGACCAACAAGCTGCACCCGTGTCTACCAAACTTGCACATGGGTCTGTGTATTTTTGAGGGTACCCTTTTTGGGTGGTTTAAAGGGAAAATAGGAAAACCGCCAATCTAGAGGGTCCTGTAAAGAAAGACACCCCTACATCAAAACTCACTGGGACACTCCGAGCTGTCCTTTCGATGCCTAATCCCAAGCCGAATGAGGCCTTCCTGCCAAATGCCCAGCCCAACATTGAAGCAATCAGCGATGGCTGCATCCCGATCAAGGCTGTCCTGAACCTGGACTCCTAAATCAAACGACTTCCCCATTGGTGTGGCCACCAAACGGCGTTGCTCTCTCCCGGTGGCCCTAAACGCTGCTGAGCAAGACCCCGCCTTTGACATGTTCAAACATCCGCCAAATGTTTTTTCTTTTTTTTTCTTTTTTTCGTGAGTACCCCGTCCCTTTGCTGGCAGTTCTCAAATTGAGTGCATACTATGTGCCCCCCATGCAGAATGTTGAAATGTGACTCATGGACCTCCAGCGTCACCTATCGAATGAACACGTCAGTGGAGGTCTTGGCTTGGTGGACAATTCGTGGCCCTGTCCGTGCGGCCAAAGCTGGCCGGTGAGTTTCCTATTCAGGTCAGTGGGTGATCCAAATGACTGGATTCCACCACTTCTTCTTGCTCCGAGATCTGTATCGTTCCGCCGGGCAATCCACAACTAAGCTCCATGATCCATTCGAAACTGGTCTGTTCCAATGCGATTCCACTTCTGTTCCTTCTGGTCCTGGGGGCCCACAGAAACTGGGGACCTACCACCACTTGCCCACAACATGCGCATGTTGAATCAACTACAGAAGACAGCTATATCATTCTCATATCCCTTGGCGGGAAGAATCAGCAAGAATGGGTTGCACAAAACTGGTATGAAAGCATGACAACACGGCGACAACCAGGCCCGTCCAACGTGGCAATATGGGCAATCGGACTGAAACGGGAAATACGGTTTCTGGTGTTCATTACCCTCCAAAGTGACTGAACCTTAAAAAACAGAAATGCCACTAACATGGCCCCAAGTGTCAAGTCCGACTCAGGTCCAAAAACCTCAGTTTCCCTGTCAATCCATCCCAAGAGTAATGTTAACCCCATATTCATCAACCCCAGTTTATTCATATGGGGGTGTTCCCCTCCAAAAGTGATGGATGATTCGTCACTAAACCCAAAACAGCCCCCTCATAAACTCAGGTTGATGAATTTGGGGTGACCCTATTACCCCCACCCCTTCTGGGCAAACTTCCTACCATCCCTACCAGACAATCTTACCCATCCCAAGAGTATTGTTATGAGCCACTGGACCCACAAATCACGCCCGCCGGGTTCGCACTGGTTTGAAGAAACTATGCCGGCGGCACCATGGCACTCGACGCCCACCAACATCCTTGTGGGCGAGTGCGGTTTTTGCGGGCAGACAAAACCGAAGAAGGCTGAGTTCGCTTGGAACCGACAGGAAACCAAGAGGAAACCAATTAGTTGTCATTAGTGTTATGCAGCTCTCATACAAGAGCCATGTGTCAGAACCAAATGGCGCCGGGTTTCAACACAAAACCCAGCTGCCCAATGACCTTGGTTGAGTATTTTCGGTGTACCAAATGTCGAGGGGTGACACTTTTCTTACGCCACAGGGCAACAAGGAAAGAGTGGCACCAGCCTTGGTTTACCATCCGGATACGTCGTTTGTTGAAGCAACACGAAAACTTCAGCGGAAAGTACTCTCCTTACCAGCAGATGGGGACAGCAAAGAAACCGTTTAGCCGACTTGCATGGTCTGCAAAAAGCACAGGCGGGAGCAGCACACATCTGACCTTTTGCAGGTTGAATATGGACAATCCGTTCATCACCATGTCTTAGCTTCTACAGTCATGCAATTGCTCACGTACCAATAAAACCGCATAGCAACATCCGATTCGTCTCCAAACGCTTCGATTTCCACCGTCCCACTCTGCACTCAAGTGCGTTTCAGGATGCTTTAGCCGCGGAGCATGTGCTCCTGTGGCACCTGTTTCGAGGGCCGCCCCGCTCGCTTCTGCTTTTGCTCTGCTGGATCACAATTTGCTTCAAGTCAAGAACCATTGCCATTGTTTTTCAAGTGGCCATACGCATCTAAAGACGTGCAGAAAACATACACTCTCAGGACCTTGCTTCATCTTATTCAAAACCGCCAGATTGAGAAATGTGGTCATGAACCTTCTCTTTGGCAAGCGGGAAGTGTCGATTGTCCAGAGGGAACGTTCCTCGACTACTTCGAAGCTATCAAAAGTCTGAATGCCCAGAACCGAGCACTCAAGAGCGACAGCGAGCCGGAAGCCGCCCAACTAGGCCAGGAGGCTCGTTGCGAAGCAGCATTCCTGGCGCACACCGCAGGCACACAAACATTTTACACAGAAACCTTGTTATACGCACGAACAGGCAGGCACCAGACGGGCTCACAAAATCATGACATTCTGGCCCTTAGAAGAAAAAAACAAGAAAACAAACCAGGACCGATTCTCCTTCGCGTCACATTCCTTCTGTGAAAGCAGCTGAACCCCTCCACCAAACCAAACCACCAAACCAAACCACCAAACCAAAAAACAAAAACACGACAACACACACCAGATGGAAACGACTGGCTGCCAAGACTGTGTGCCTTTCGTGGTGACGCTTGAAAACCATTGAGGTGCTGTCCCCTCCCAACAAATCCACATTGAAGTTCACGACATCCAGCTGGAACTCGAACACTCAACTTCTGGTCCTTAGGGCCGTTTCTTGGGGCACATCTGAAGGCAGTTTTCGAAGATGCGCCTGCAACCATAGCTGGGATCACTGCAGTTCGTTTCATATCTCATGTCCAAACAAGCTGCTTTGTACCCTTCCTTCAACATAGCTCCGGTGGGAGGGCACCTGGAAGATAAGCTTCTTAAGGGAAGCCCCTGTGAGTTGCCATGTTAGTGGGAGGGAGGGTAATTTCCGCGCATCCAATTGTCTGCTTTCGAAGAGGTTGCTGTTGCACAGCCGAGCTCCGACCCTCGATCTTCCCACCGGCGCTTTTTTTTTGTTCTTCCCAGATGACCCCAGAAAAGTCGCCAAGTCTCGCTTGGGTCCGCGCTTCCCTCACGCAATCCTAAATTGACACTTCTTCAAGGTTAGTAAAAAAGGGAGCGCGTACCACTATGTGGCCATGGGTCAAAAGCCCGTACCCCCAGTGAACATCCCAATCCCCACTAAAATAGACTAAAATGGGTGGTGCACCTACCCCAAAATGGTACCATTGGTGTTGACCCACAACCATATGAATGTATATGAAGATGCATATTTGGCAATGCTCTTAGACTTACAGACCTTCCTTTCGCTAGATTCTCTCAGCTCGATTCTCACGCCTCCGAAGGCATCTTTCGTCAACTCTATCATCAGGTCCCGTGGCAAAGTGTCCGTGACAAAGAAGGACTTCCTCAGATCTCCGCAGCTAACATCTAGGTCCTCCAGTAGAGAGGTTAGAATAAGGGTGCCAACTTTCTTCTGTAGTCGATTTTAATAGGGGAACCCTCCCCCAAAAAAGGGTGAGGTGAGGAGGACAACTCATCACACAGCGGGTTCTTCACGTCGCACGGCTAGCGCGGCTCAGAAACAGAAAGCGAGTGAGGGGTACAAACATGTTTTAAAAGATACGATACGCGAGTAACCGTTTTGGGCTTGCCATGAGTCTTCCGGACTTCCCCTCTGACTTGAGGGATGGTGATTGAGACCGATCGGATCTAGATCTGATCACTCACAGCAAGGTTTAGGTGCAACAAACTGCGCGCTATCCCATGGCGACAGGTACATGACACTCTGCTGCGCCTTGACACAAATCGCGCTCGCATTTGCTTGTTTATGCTGTGTTCCGCCCCAAGAATCTGCTTCCCAAAACCAATCGTCTAAAAACATGTCAAATACTTGAAAGATGCGGGTTTGCACTGACCGAGACCGTAGCGCTGCTTCCCGGACTCTTGCAGGAAGCTAAGTCGGCGAAGACCAGATGCAGACGTGATGATCCGGCCAAGCAAACACCTTTTCATGCTAAGCCAACACCTATACTTCCCCCCTATTCATGCTATGATTTGAAGGTCCGCGGAAGGCAGAGGCAAAGCAAAGAGGTACCACCCGCCAGATCAAGTGCGCAAATGCTTCCAGACGCGTGTGTTGAACCCTCGCTTCTCAGCCGCGCGTAAGTTCGAGAATAGACTCCTGCAGGAAAAAAAGGGCGCGGTGAGAGAGGGGGAGTGAGACAGGAGAAAAAAAATTGGTTGGGATTGTTCGACCACCATATTGTTCAAGAGGAAGTCTTGGGAATCATTTACCAGGTTTCTTCAACTCAGGAAACCTCTCCAAAAGAGGACCCCTAGGACGCACTGTGTTGGATTCGGCGCCTGCGAACTCAAACGGTTCCACATGCAGCCAGTCCAAGATGCATCAAAGAGGGATCCACACGCATCTCTCCGGCATGTGAGGCACGCTGCACCTGAGGAAAATGCCCCCAGGACCCCATGAGCTTGCTACAGATGGCCCGGACGAACGGCATGCCATACTAGGTCCTCCAGTAGAGAGGTTAGAATAAGGGTGCCAACTTTGTTCTCTCTATTTTAGTAGGGGAACCCTGCCCCAAAAAACGGTAAAAGGGCACTACTGGGGGACCTAGCATATAGTACTTGCTAGCTGGGCAGCTTTCAGGTTCTGGGTGAATGTGCTATGTCAGTGATGTCGTGATGTAACGCTGGGAACGCCACTGAAGCGCAGTTGAAACAATATTTTCAGGAAGCTGACAGGGACTCCGCGAGTCATGTTCTCCGCTGGGTCAAATCTGAGTGCCGCTGTCTATCAGCAAGTAAAATGCTTGCAAGCAAGGAGCAGGACCGAATTGTTCCCCTAAGTCATCCTTGTAGCTAACTTCTAAAATCAGGACTCCCATTTCAAAAAGACTTCCCCAATTCACTCAGCATTTAAGTGATCCAAGGCTCCCTTATGCATGAAATCAGTTGGAAAGGATCAGACATCAGCTCTGTGGACACCAACCTGAAAGAGTGTTGTGCTGTAGGGGATGAACCATGTTTCCTTAGGCACCGTTGGGATGAACCATGTATCCCCCTTTTCATCATAGACATGTAATTTGGTTGACGATTCAAAACTCATCCCAAAAGCAAACCAACCACGTGTTCCCCCCATCATTGGACATAGGGACTATACAAACCATTTGAAGGGTTCTGCCCCGCCTAAGGCATGTGTGTGTGTGCGTGTTTTTTTGAGTGGGCACCCTCTGGACATCATGATGTCATGGGGATTCATGTCCAACAACCATTTGGGTTCGTCTTGAATTAACCACACTGACGGTTCCTCTTTTGGTTGCCCTTTAAGCCATCCCAAAAAGGGCACCTGTCCAAACGTCCAAACATGGAGCATGACTGAGGGTCCTGGAAGACGAGTTTCATTAACGAGACCCTCTGGCGGGTTCCATGGCAACCCCAACACATCGCACTCCCCCCGCGCACCCCCACCACCCCCACCATTTTCCGGGGAAAAAAGACACACACACACACACACCCAACAAACAAAGAAGAACAAAACACCAAAAAAAAAACAACAACAACGTCACTCCCGGGCCGGGCCATCTGTCTCCGAGCGGCCGCTTTCTCGAAGGCCGTGGTGACCTTCACGCTGAGCCGCGCGTGCTCGCTGAACTCCTGCCGTGCCGTGCCACTGCGCGCTCGTACGGCACAGACCTAGGTCCTCCAGTTTTTTTTTTTTACCGCTCCGAAGCCTTTTTTTCAAAACCCAACGCCAGTTTAAGACCCAAGTGATGACTTTCCTCTTCTAGGTTTGGCAGTGAGGTTGGAATAAGGGTACTTGATATTTTGTCTGTAGTCTATTGTAGTAGGGTAAACCCTCCCCCAAAAAAGGGTGAGAATGGGCACTACTGGGGGACCTAGCAGAAGTGACCCATGAAAATCGACGAGAAGTTCGGGCTGCCAGGAATTGCGTGGCCACAAGGGGCACTGTATGGCTCTGTATAGTGGTCACAAGGTTGGATTAAAAAAAATGCGAGCCCCCCATGTCCCGCCCGAATGGAGCATACCCTTCTAGAAGTCTTGACAGAACCCATCGGACGAACCCGATCCAAGGGTTGCGGGGTCCCTTACACCCAATTGAGTCATGACCACAAGATACCACAAGATCATGTGTGCATATCTAGGCCTTTGTACTGCATACAGCGCCTTGGAATGAGTTCAGCAGATGCAAAGATCGAGGAGAGAGAGCTGCTGTGCTGCCCGGTGCAGCCCCCCCAGTCGGATCCCCCCTATCATTTCTAACGTCCACATGAGTCGTCCCTCTTGGACATATATGGGGTTTCTGCCTCAAAACAAAGAGGTTCCTATTCTCCGCGTTCACAATTTTTGGAGTTCTCCCCAACTGGACGTAGGCGGTTCAACTGGTAACCCAAGGCCAATGTCACCTGGAATCTTCCCCAGCAGTTTTGCAAGGGCGAAATTACTCCCCGGCTTTTGGGCTCCATGGTACCCTCTGCATGTCAAAGCTCTTGGCTTCCGAGTTGCCGAAGGGCCACCTTGATGAAGCCGGCAAAGGAAGCTTCGCAGCTCTGGATCACATGAAACCATCCCTTTGCCCAAATTTTGACAAAACCGCCGGAGGATTTTCGGAACTTTGCGCCGTAGGAAACCGCGCGGGTGGCCTTGATCAGGCCATACCTCTTGTTCAGCTCGGCTTGGGCCCTGTCCACACCGGTCAGGGTGGTAATAACCTGGCGCAATTGGGTGACTTTTCTAGCCGAAAACCTCCCGTGTGAAACACCTAAGCAAAAGAGCAAAAGGTGGTGAAGTGCACATATCCTGCTGCAAAGTCTGGATTGGAATGCATGACATCCATCATTAAAACTCAGGATGCGCTATGCCAGCAGTCTTGAAGAAACCCTGCCAAGCCCATTGGAAATGTCACTGTTGGATGAGTCCCAGGGAAACAGTGCCCAGGTTTGGTTGCATTTTCTGGAATGTTGCCTTCAGCACCAGCACCACGGATCAAGCTTTATTCAGATCGAGTGCTATAAACCGCAAGGCAATTCGGGCAAACAGAGAAAACTGAACGCGCATTTTCTTGTTATAGCATTGCGCTTTGCTTGCCAAGTGAAATGGCTAAAAGGAACGCGTCAACAAATCAGACCTGAATCCCTGGATGTCGCAACATGCCCATTCTTGCGCTGGATCACTCAAGTCTGCCGATCCATTCCTGCTTTCGAGGGTCGTTAGCATGCAAACTCAACATGTACCTTGGCGCCTTGCTACTGCTGGTACCGCTGCCCTCCGCGCCTCGGACATGATGATGGAATTCACCACCTCAGCGCAACGCCTCTTGACATTTCGAGATTCAAAGCCCTGAAGCGAAAGGTGCCAGACCCTGCGCGCGATGGCTTCAAGCTTTTTCCGGCCCATAGCGCCATAGGGCTTGTTTAGGATTGAGTATGTCCCGCACTGCCCCTCTCATTCCGTGCTGGTTGCCAGGACAATCTGCATTCAAATCATACCCATGCGGGTCTTACCATATGAAGCCCATACAACTGGCATGCGTTCCTTTTCGTTTGGTGTCCTTTTAAGCAAACCCGCTGAACGCGAACCTGAAAATGAGACATCTCCACGTCACCCACTGCATCCGACAAAGCGCCAAGTGCTTTCCAACGCCTTGAACAAGGATCTGTTGCCGGGGATATTGCAAAGGCATGGCAGAAATTGACTGGCATGGGGCTTGCTCTGAGATATCGTTGAGCCCTGAATCTATCTCCTCAGCACTGGTGTATTGTCAATCTTGCTGGTGCGATAGGCAGGGAATGAGGGAATAACCCCTATATATAAATCGTCCAACTTTGGGTTTTCTTTGAGGGACCCCTGATTTCATTCCCTCTTTCCCTACTGAGCACCAGCCAGCAATTGCAAAGCGATTCGGAACGCCAGCAACTGCAAAGTGATTCGGAGTTGCAAGTTATTCGCCTTCAAGAGGATCTGGGCTCCAGAGCAAATTCGAAATTTCATGAAAGCACCCTGGAACTCTTGGCGCACGGCAGTTCCCACAATCCTCAGGCGGCAGAGAAGAAGCGGGTTTAGCCTTTTCGGTGAGTTGTTTGGAGTTTTCTTGGTGGTTTAGGAGGTGGTATGGCTCTACACTTCAAAAAAACTGAAGCCAACCGCGCACGTCCACACCACGGGGCGACTCACTTGCCCAAAGCGTCAAGTAAGACAATGAGTCACTTGGGACCTCGACATAACATATTTTATCAGATTTTCTTTGAGAGCGGCTTCACGGTTGCGAGCACAACCGGCTCCAACGCCATGGGCAAAGTAAGCTGAATGACCGGCAACATGCAACTCAGGCACTCTTCTCTGGGTCCTCCAGTAGAGAGGTTAGAATAAGGGTACACGGTTTTTTTGTAGTCTATTTTGGTGGGGAACCCTCCCCCAAACAAGGGTAAAAGGGCACTACGGGGGACCTAGTTCTTGATTGGTGCTTTGCTCGTCTCTTGTTGAGGGTATCCCCTTAAGCTGTTAACTTCGCGAATGTTTATTTAAACGGACATCAACTTGACTTGAAACAAGGTACTAAGTGGAGATTGCACGCAAGGGCTGCCCTCTGACTGCACCGAAGTTGCTTGTCACCCAAGACATGTTGAATGGCTTCGAGACCTCAAAATTCAATCCTATAGGGTCCCTTCAAATCTATCAAGGGGCGGACCCAGGCTTTCGCGCCCGGTCAGCCCCACAGCACAGGAGATCAGTGGCAACGGTATAGCATTGGAGCCCCTTTTCGGGCAACACGAAATAACACCAGGGTTCCGAAAAGGACACCTACTTTGGACAACCTGAGAAAAACTCACTGCCTGTCGAGGCTCTCGTCCTGGAATTTCACTTTCGTTGACTCACTGCCTTCGCTTTTGTTTCCAATGGTCGCCGCTTTTCAAAAGGACCAACATATTTCTGGGCTGTCCTCAGACCCCCTGCTAAAAGTTTAACTTTTAGTGGGTTAAATGGAACCCCCCACGAAACCCTAACTGTCTAAAAAGCTAAGTGGATGGCTGGGAACCACCAAGATTTTGCAAGACTACCAGAAGCTGACAATCGCCTTGCATTCGCTTTCAGTCGAATCCTCGCGGTCATACCAAATTGTGAGGCTCCCGGTTTGAGAAATATCGAAGGCCATCCTCCGGCATCGCCAGCGCCAGCGCCAAGTCTCCGTTTGCAAGGCCACAATTTGACAATGAGCTTATCCTGACACCTGCCCAAAAACAGCAAACCCGTGTCTGAAAAAAAAAACATGTTTCAACAACTCTGTTAGGAGTAAATGGAACAGGAACCGGCGCCGAGTGTTTTGTTTGCCTCAAATATGACCTAGGTCCTCAAGTAGAGAGGTTAGAATAAGGGTACCAACTTTTTTCAGTAGTCTATTTTAGCAGGGGAACCCTCCTCCCAGAAAGGGTAACACGGCACTACTGGGGGACCTAGCAACGCCAATTCTACGCCAGAGTGGCATGGCGAAGTCGACATAGAGAGTCTCCCCGGTGGTGAGGGCGGACATGTCGCCAAAACCCACGGTGGTGAAAATGGTGAGAACCTCACAAGCCCGTCGGTCCCTAGAAGATAGCCAGCCGAGAAAAGATTGGGTCGGGCCACATTGGAAGGACACCCTGTCTGGTTCCAACATACTTTCAAACCCACTCAGCAAAGAAAAATGGAGCGGAACCTGCTGGTGGGCGAACTGGAGTGGGATTTCAAGTCTTCAAGACATACCTCCCCGCACCTGTGTGACGGAAGCTTTACGCGCATAGGAAGTGCGGCAAAGCAAATGCCGGTGTGAATGCACATGATGCATTCGCCAGAATCGCCTGAAATCGGGGATTTCCTTGCAGTGTGTGGGGCAGTTGGGTGGGTATCGCTCGCCCAAAATAAGACTTCCAAAGCTCAGCGTCACTGGCGACCAGTCACCTCATCTTCTAAAGGGCTCATGGATATTGGAAAATTGAGATGGCCCCCTCTCTCCAAGGCTGGCCGCGGACTTTCAGGCCTTTCAAGAGGACGGGACTGTTGTGCAAACCCTTCTGTCAGTCGGCAGACAGGGCGCCACTGGAGACCTGAGGCCGCGGCAAAGTACAGCGCATGCACCTCAGGAGACTGCAGGTCACATCCATCGAACCAGCGGAGCCGCCGTGGCCCCGGGGCCATTCCTGTTGGGACCAGGCTAAAGTGTTGATTTTTTGTTGTTCAAAGCTGTTGCCAAAGGTCCTATCCTGCCAGGAGCAGGGCTGTGGGAAATGGAATCCACTTCTGTGATACAACAGAAAGGGCCTCCCAAAGACAACCCCCCATTTGAAGAGGGAATTCCCTTGTATCACAGAAGTGGGGATAAACCCCTTGATCCCACCAAAGGCCTGCAGGGTGCTGGACTCCAAATAAGCTCCTGTTGGAACACGCTCCGGAGGTGAACCAACAGAAACCCGGAAACCCTGCGAACCAAACACACGTCTGCGCGGATTGGGCCAAGGCTCTGTAGATTGACGGAACTCAATGCAAAAGCCCAAGGAAAAATGCTTGAAGGGAACCATCCTCGTATCCAACTCGCTGGCTGACGCTCGGAGTGGGAGCAACTTGCAAGAACATGGCCCCTTTCAATATGGTCGTGGATGAAGCCGCTGCTCGCAATATAGCAAATGCCGCTGTCCCGTTTTTGACATGAAGGCGGCTGGCCATTTACATAGGTGTTTTTGAGATAGGTGTTCTTGACTCAGAACTTATCCGAGCTGAGATGACTGAGGTTGGCCCTTAAAAGCACAGTTGTTCAGAACTCCATACTTGTTCCTGGTCAACTGTCACCGCCAAGTGCAAGTGGGACATGTAGGAAGCCTTGCGTCTTACCAACGCTGACGTGGTTAATGAACCTCCGTGAAGAGAATGCCCTGATCAGATCCCTCCATTCCGCGAACGCCGATCCGCGGCCCTCGCGGTGGTGTTACCCACAGCCGTGTTTGCTGCGGCGATCGTTCGTCTGCCCGAGCACATGCCCATTCAGCACTCTTCAACTGGCAAATTGACCCATCAGCTTCTCAATGCAGGTCTGCAAGATCAAAGAACTGGTTTCATCCAACCTTTGCGCCAATCACATGAAGTGGAACTCCCCCATTGCAACGAGCCCCAACTTTTTGCTGAGAAAACCACCCCACACCGCCCAGAGCCCCAGTGGAAAGCAGCTCGGATTTCTTTGAGCTCAGCACCCATTGAACTTCCGGCTCCTGAGCAAAAGGAACCACGGGGTTGTCGCGCACTGGTTCCCTTCGACCCTCCCCCCAAACAAAAAAACGACACCTGAAACACAGAGAAAACCCGACACACACCACACAAACGGGCATGCGGCCAACTGAGGACCGCCAACTCGGAATTTCTTTGCGACAAAAAATGGAACTTCCACGAACGCCAAACCATTGTCGCAGGCTCAACTTTTGGGGGAAGGACCTTATTTTCGGGTTCCACGCTAATTTGCAGGGGAGTAAAAAGAGTAATATGAACATCCATTGAAGGGTCTCCTGATCTTATTCCCATACTCAAACGTAAAGTGACTGTGAACAGTCGCTGTTCTGCCGGCAACTGGCCAGCTGACATTTGACATGCTTGTAAATCCTAGGCAGACATGCATTTGACATCGGCAAACAGACATACATGCTAGCTCTGAAAGAAGGAGTCACGCAAGTGCGATCCGTTCGGCCAAAAAGAACAACAATCGTCACAAAGCCCGGCCACAAAAAGAAGCTAAGAACAATGAGAGCCTGCTCGCAGCGATGTCGCGCAAGCGATGTGTGGGCCCGGGCGGCCGACATGCATGGCCCTCATGTTCTACACATTGCATGAAAGTCACCAGAAGAATGTACCCTCCCACCAATTCACATCCTGGAAGACAATGGTCCTTTTAAAGGGACCCCTGTAAGGTTCCATGTTAATTGGAGGGTAACACATCCTGTCCTCTGGGCTAGAGGGTTTCAGACAACCAGCGGCTGCGAACGGTGACAATGACCCGCGTCTGGCGCCTTCCCGAGCAAAAGGTCATTCCCGTCGTTGGACACTTGGCGTCGACCGACCCAAGTGTCCTGGCAATGGTGAGCGCGAGCATGGGCCGTGTGACTACATTTGAATACCTGCTCCGAGCATTTTGGGGAATCATTGGAAAAGCTGAAGTGTCAAAGGTGGCACAGTTGGACCAATGATTCAATGATTGACTGTCTCAAGATTACCCTTACAATCCTATCCTGGCGGTCTTCCAAAATTAAGTCTACTGTGAAAGGTCCCAGAATGGGGGAGGTGGCTACTACTGCGATCGAGAGCTACGCTACTCGACGCATCCCCTGCCCATGTCAACCTTTGCCCGAAAATAAACACAACAATCTCACATCACTTCCATACTTAGTGCCTCAAGACGCAAACATATAACATGAACATTTGATCCCAGCTACCCTCCACAAGTGGAGTGTGCCAAACTCAGAGCTGTCAGGGTCCCTTGACCATGGGGAACCCAAGTCCGCCATGAGGAATCTGGGTGTATACCTGGACAACTCGTTTTGGAAGGCCTCTTGAACACTAGGTCCTCCAGTAGAGAGGTTTAGAATAAGTGTTCCCGATTTTTTTCCAGGACGTCTATTTTAGTAAGGGGCCCTTCCCAAAAAGTCGGTAAAAGGGCACCTAGCTGACGGACCTAGAACATCTGAAGTACTGGCCACAGGCTCACTATCGCGTTCCCTCGTTCAGGAAAGGTGTGCTGGCGGGTAGCTCATGCGATAGGGGTGTTGCCAGGAGGCCAGCAGTACCCTACACGAAGCTCGTAACTTGTCGTTGAAATTGGTTAAAGACTAAAGCGACAGCCTTTGCACGAAACCCGACCCCAAAGAGTGCATATACGAAGTCATGGAACTACAATTGCTGTTTGGACACGACAGAAATAGCAACCATAAAAAGGACAGCTGCATGGGTTTGAAAAGCTGCAGTGGCAATGCCCAATGCCTAAATGGAAACTGGGACAAGCACGGCTCAGCAGACTCCCTTTGCATCGCAACATGGGGCCGGAGGCCAACGATGGCCATCGCCAAAAGCCAGGAGCTGCCTCCGGGTTTTCATGCAGTGCAGCACATAGATACCTGGCGTTCACGCAAGTTACGGGCAGGAAGTTGGATCTGCGTTCAAACTACCGGCTTGAAGGTTGCTTTGGCAGATTTGCCTGGGCGATCGCTGTGGCGGATTCGGATTCCAATGCACCTCCAATCCAAAATTGAAGAGATGACCCCGGATGGACAAAACCGGCGGATTGAATCGGAATCCCTCTAAAATTGGTTGCGCTCTCAATCAAAATCAGCTAGCTTCTTGCCGGGCCAACATTGCCTGTCTCTATTGATCTGCCCGCAAGGCAGAGAGGGTGTGACAAGTATCACTCCCCAAGAGGTGCGGCTCGCTCTTGCAGGAAATACAGGGCCTACACTCTTGCCAAGACGTCTTACAAAACCTCCCAATTGTGCTTAAACATAGCTATGTGAGAAACACATTGGTGTCATGAGGGGCTAATTAGGGGTGAGTGTGTTGCAACAACTCCCGCATAGTTCAAAGTTGCTTGTTTGAAGACATCACCGTGAGAAGTCGTCTGACACGATGGTTTGAGCATGCGGAGGAGAATCCAAGAATGGCACGGGCTCAGCTGCAAGTTGTAGACCTATGTCACAAACACACAAACACAAGAACAGCAAGTTCAACGCCACATGTTTGCACGAGAAAACATGGAAGTTACGCGAAAACAGGCATGAATGCCAACTCAAAAACAGTGTGTGCGGAAGACTCCACTTCCTAGCATTGCTGTTCCCTGACAATGATACGATGAGAAACCTTGCAACAAGACGACTCCAAACACCTGTGCTTACTTTGATTCCGCGTACGGTGCCCGCAAACAATAGCAATCCCTGTCAATCGCAGCACAATCCTTGTTTCTAATTGCGGTCAGGCTATGAACCCATTGTCGATCCTACAAAATCCATTCATGAACTGTTATTGTTCATCGACTTGGATAGATTGAGACAATCCTAAAACTCCAGGACCCTCATCAATCAGAAACGTGGAGGCTGAAATGTGTCCATGATAGTGGTTCAAAGAGCTCCGCGGGTGCCGACTTTCCAACCCGACAAAAAAACCTCTGCAAAAGGGAACCGGAAGGCTTGCTTCATTGACTAGGTCCTCCAGTAGAGAGGTTAGAATACCGGTACCAACTTTTGTGTGTAGTCTATTGCGGGGACCTAGTACCTAGTTGAGCAACAACTATCTGCTACCCACGACAACCATTGGAATCTTCTTTTCGACCCAAGGTTCCTTCTGGTTCGCCCGGAAGAATAGCTGTGGCGCACCATCCACAGGCCATGAGGTGCACCACCCACATGAGGCCCACGCAAAGGTTCATCCTGACCGCACGAAAGGTTTACCACGGCACCTGCCGGGTCCTCAATGCCACCTTGGTCTTCCAAGGACCCGCAAAACCCGGGCCCTTCTTGATTTTGATCTTGGCTCCAAATGGAAATTCGGCTAAAGGCCTGCTATTCCAGGGTCCCGAAAGATCAAGGCGGTTTCAACCATGCCGCAAAGAGTTGAGAGGACCGCTTTCAGTCAAGTACTCCGTAGCCCAACTCAAAACGGACTGTAGCCATGTTGTAGGCTAGGCTCTTTCCTGCTGGCTTACCTGACGAATTTTCCACCTATGGTTTGTGTGTTTGTCAGTAGGTAGTCGGAAGCCGTTCCTACCTTAGCTCTTGACTCCCAACCAAAACACGTGTTGCTTCTGTTCCATATCCAGTGAAACTTCAAAAGGAACGTAGTTCAAATAATTTGTGCTAGCGCTTGGCTGATCAGTACGGGGCGGTTTTGTGTTGAGAATGCACCTCAGCACGGGGTAGCTGAGCTTTCTATCCGCGATTCGGCATTTCGTATCGGTGCTTTCCATTCACTGCAGCACCTTGGCACACGAAGCGCTACGTGCAGTGAGCATGATCTTTCTGTGATGATTTTCAAAGGACACATCATGAAATCAACCATTTGCAGAGTCCAAAATTGTTTGGGGCCGCCAATTGACCTTGGACAAGCTCAGGCGACGGCATCTCTTCTCTTCGAGACCATCGTGTGCTTTTTGCTCGCGTGCCAACACGCCCAAGAACTGCAACTCGTGCTTTCATCTACCCTGAAACCTGACGAAAGAAGGCAGCTGGAAGAACGCTTTCTGCTTCAACAACCTTCGGCTGAATTCCACAGTTACTTGTAACCTATTTGTCCTTACAGTGGGGCGTGCGTCATTTCAGAGAACAGTGACCGTGACTCGGCCCTATCATGGCCAAGATCAAATCAGTACTAAAGGGTCCACACATGCCCGGAGAACCGAACACGAATCCAAGACAGAGTTGCGTCGCGTGGGGAGCCGTACAGACTTGCTGGTTATAAATCTGGGTGAAGTATAATATTTCACCAACCTGAAATAAGGTGGTTGGGGGGCACAACCTCCACCATTTGGGGTGAATTTGGTCGTGTGAGGTCGTTATAATTCACCCAGATAAATCGGACGTTGTGGCACCTTCTGAATTGGCGTGCGCTGAGTCCGCTTGAGACCTGCCAATCTCGCTGGGCCGCCGGGCATGCGCACCCCTCTGAAGCCCTGTGCGCGAGGCGAGAGACAAAGCGTCACATGGCCTAGGCCTAGGCGGTGCGCCGTAGGTGTCCTTTTACTCGGGGGCTATAGATCCCCTAGCAAAAAGTTAAACCTTTTTGCTGGTTGAAAGGGAATATGATGGGAATCCAAGAAGTTAAAGTCTAAAGATCCAACTCAATAGCAGTAGAGTTTAGGGGAAATAGATGGCCCTGGTAGATGAAGAAAAACCACCAGGTAAGCCAGGAATCGCCATCTATTCTTCGACCAAAGCAACCAAAAAGGATACCTGTAGCTGTGAGATTTTTATTTGCCACACAGAGCGCCTACATCGTGGGCCAACTGCCAACACAGTGGTTTGATCTCCGTCCGGCCGGTGCAAGAAGGAACGCGCCTATGCCAACCAATAACCCTTCACAATTCCTTGCGATGAACCCCTTTTCGATCTGTCACCTAAATGCAACAAACTGAAGGACGGTCAACCCAACCGCCACCCCCCAACTGCCGCATGGGAAAGACGCTGCAGAGACCCCAAAATCCGGCGAACACGAAAGAGCGGCGGCCTGGATATATTTCCAGGTGGCGCTCTCATGGAGGAAGGGTGCCAGCTTGGCAAGTCGCCCAAGTCGGGCTAACCTCGCCAGATCGCAAGTGTCGCGACATTTGCTTGTGTAACGGCGAAGGAGTCACAATCAAAGCCCGGTAGTAAAATGGTCCGCCCAGAACCATGTAAAGCATTAAGAAGGCGGCCGCAACTATTTCTGGCTGGGACTGCCCCTTACTAACCCTTCTCTACCCGGGTTTTGATTGTGGCTGAAGGGGAACCCTGCCTTGGGGGTTGGCAACTAGCCCTGGAGCAAGAGGGAGTGGGCCACAGCAGAAGGAACAGGTGCCAAGATCATGCACAACGTCAGGATCAATTTGTTTGGGAAAATCCAATAACTGTAGCCACTTACTAGGCCTGATCTTTCAAACCCTTGAGGTGATAACAAACATTTTGTTCAATCCCTTACTAAAATGAACAGACCCCCAAAACCTAAAGACCAAACGCCTGCCACCAGTGAAGTTATGTTCTTGCTCGTGGAACAGCCAGTGACCAAGTGAACCAAAAGTGGCACCTAAGCATCGCCCCGCCCTGTGCTTCCTTTTGCAGATTTGTCCGCCTGGCGTTTGTCCGGTTGCATGTCACAAGATGGATGTTGAATGCCTTGTCCAAGCAGAATCCATGATGCTTGTCCTAGCCGACCGGTATTTCCTTTGTCGCTCAAAGGCCAGCATACGGCCTGCAACACACCAATTCATTAAACAAAACTTTTGAATAGGCAGAATACATGCACCCCATCGCACATATGTACGTTCTAAAAAAACTCGCAACCAAGACATTAGCCAATGCTGAACCAATACTAAACCAACAGCCTTTCAGTCAACCCACCTGCAGTTGTACAACACGGGATGTGTTGGTGCCTTCAATCATTCCCATTCAATGTTACTGTGTGGCTCATGACTCGTTTTGAAGCTTCTGCCCTCGGCAAAGGGAGACGCCCATGTGGACAAGAACCGAAGGAATATCTTGCTAGACCATATTTCCAAACATATTCTTGTTCCCACCCATCCCTATCGTGAGGAAAGCTGTGAAACAAGCTTTGCGGCTGATCAAACTCCTCTGTCTGGGATCTGTCAGGCTGCTTTGGGTTGAGCATGTTTGAGCTAATCAGGCCCGATGAGTATTGGCGTCTTAAAGCTCAGTGTGTCCGACACGTTTCTTGAAACCCCTACTCACTGATACCCTCCCATCCCACTCATAAGGCTTCATCCATCAGCAAAAGAAGATGCGCACCGTGCATGATGGGCCCTCGGGTTTGGGTAACCGGGGGAAGCCCTCTTGTAAAACCTACAGGCAAGCTGGTTACCTAGTGGCGAAATGACTATAGAAGCACTGGGGGGAATAGAATCTGTGACCGGAGGTCATCTATGAGAATGGATCCATTTCTGAGCCACTTCTACCGCGCTCAGTGATGCAGACGCTGTTGTTCCAAGCGATTTTGTAGTACCAGGATGATACTGGGACATTACCCTGCTTGACTATTCATTGTCAAGCGTGAAGTTCTAGCAAATGCAATGCAATGCAACAACCCTTGCACAGTTGGCTCGGGTGCTGCCTTGTGCTTCCATTTGGAGAAACACATATTGATAGCAACTTGTTGCTTGCAACAACGTTCAAGACACCTCAGACCAAACAGCTTCGGCGCAACCAGAAAGGACACCAGAAAGGGAGCATCATAACAGGAGGCAAAACAGCAACACCCCCAAAAAGACTGATTCAAAACTTTGGGTCAGATTCTTGAAAACGCACGAGAATGCCAAGCAGCTAGGGTTTTCCAACCGTTGCAATAAGCCGATCCGCTCGTCTGCCCGCCCCCGATCTGCCAGTCTGTCGGCCTTGCCAGACGAGACGTGCGGTGCAACCTTGACAGACGAAGGCCTCGCGGGCGGTCGAGGGAACTCGACTCGGGAGGACTCCCGAGTGATACCGCGACGCCTGTCGCCTTGCAAGGAAGTCAGCTGGACACGTAGAGAGAAATCCATGATTGTGGGCTTCACGTGCACCCCTCGAACATTGCAGTGATGTTGGCAGCTCGCGTGTTCCAGGGTGAATGAATCATGCTACGATCTCGCGGCAAACAGGGAATCACAAGGAACAAGGAGGAGTCTAAACGCCATGCCGGAAATGTGAACACATAATCAGCTTGTGTCCATCAAATCTGCCATTCAACAAGCACAACAGCAATGGAGTGACTCCCCTCAAAAAGGACGACCCCCCAAGTACTTATGGGTCCATTTTATCTGCAGGTTGGCACTGTCCCCAAGGCCCTCCACCCACTTGAAGAAACCTTTTGATTGAATCGGGTTCTGATCGAAGAGTTTGTTTTCGAACGTTTCCGGGGGTACGAGCCTTACTCTGAACATACTCTTGCCCTAGTTGCTCTACAGGTTTTTGTTAGGCTTTACATGATGGTTGCCCTGGTTACTGCGCTGCAAATCAACATGGAATCCGAAGAGTGAACACCAAACACACAATACATACCTCTAAACATGATTTCTGTTCCATGTCAATCTAGGGGGAAGTACCTGCTATTGGGGGAATTGGAAGCACTGAGATAGGCAAAGCAAAGCTCGGGGCATCTGCAAATGTTCTTCAGCTTCAAAATGCTGAGGGTTTCTCCATTGCGAAAGGCCACGCCGCTTGCCCAAAAGCCAAAGCAACTTCATCAAATGTGATGGTCCAACAACGGCCCTCATGAGCAACTCAAAGGTGGCTGAATTCTGAATCATTTTTCGGCAAGCCTACGTGGGATTTAGTATTGGATACAGGATACAGTGAAACATGTAAATGACAAGCTGGTGACCGCGGAACGAGAAGCTTTACTTCTTGAAGTAGGTAGCCAAGGAGGGAGGGGACTCCTTCATGCCACGTGGCAACTCCGTGTGGCCACGATTGCGTGGCAACTCCGTGTGGCCACGATTGAAACATCACGCTGACGACTCCGCGGTTGAGATCTTCGCGGCTGGTCAGACTCAGCGATGTGTTCTAGGTTGTTACGATTTCTTTTTTGCAGAGATCCTCGGGCTTGCTCACCGAGCCAAGCTACACGGCTCTCTCCACGTGAGGTGTGCAGCCCCTGTTGGTAGCTATTGGCAGTTCAGCAGCTCGATGGGCCTCGAACAGGACTGTCGGACCGTGCCGCCCTTGTTGCATCAGCTGCTAGGTCCTCCAGTAGAGGTTAGAGTAAGGGTACCAACTTTTTTTCTGTCTATTTTAGTAGGGGAACCCTCCCCCAACAAAGGGTACAAGGGCACTACTGCGGGACCTAGGCTGCCATGGAAATCATTGTCACCTGTGATACGACACATGACCTAGAAGCACACGGTGCTCATGTGCCAGAGCAACTTGCGCGGCACATGGCAATAGAATTAGCATGAATGAGCAAGAGGAACCTTGCCTTGCAGGGATTCGGATTGCAGGGGATACATGTGTACAAGAACTACCCTCCAACAGGTCCAACAGTCATGAAATCCTGCAAGAAGGCATTGGAAACAATTCTCTTGACAAGGCCTCATGCCAGGATTGTTGGACAGAGGATGCCCCGAAAACCCGTAGGGCAACCCCTCGATCCGAATCAAATTCCAAGCGCTGCCGCTCCCACGCCGCTGGCCGCGCCTTTGTTCAACGAGGACTCCCCGCCATCGGAACTGCCAAAGAGGACCTCAGAAGGCGGGCGCGGGACGAAGTGCGAACCACAAGAACCAAAGGGTACGGTGTAGAGTTGGTTTGGGTGGGTTGAGGGCTTATTTAAGGTTGGTTGATTGGTTTAGGGTTGGTTGAAGAAATCAAAGGGTCCTAATTTCAAACTGCTTTGAACGCTCTGGACCAAACCGTTGATGCAGTGGGGAGGAACTTCACCCGTGCGACACGCCAGTCGAAGACATCTCCAAGTTATTGACCCCACACTGAAAACCCACGCGACCAAACCCTCAAAATGAGGGGCCATGGCCATAAGGAAACCCCTACCAACCCAAACGCAAAAAGAGAGCGTTGGCCATGGCACATGCGCTGTTGCAACCCTGGCAGCTCCGCCCACCTCGAGTTCTTTTCTCGCTTTGCGGCCCATGATCTTCTTAAAGGCAATATCCCGTGTCCTGGAGACCAATTTCCGCGCAATTTTGGTGCAACGCTGTCTGTTCTGCCCACCTAGTCCGAAAACCCTGGTTTTGAGGCCAATGCTATTTTTAAAGGCAATATCCCATATCCTGGAAACCGATTTCCTTGCAGAAGCTCCAATGTCGGGTTGTCGAGAGCTTATCTTAGGAACAAGCCAAGGGTTCAGGATGGCGCCGGTTTCAGGGCAAGTGATACATGTCCTCTGAGATGGTCACAGTATCCGTTTGATTGGCTTCCATTTGCTTAGGCCCCCTGGAAACAAGTATATTTCCAGAGTGATAGATTCCCTTCAAAACCAACAAGGGAAAGTAAATAGTATTAGCAAGCAAATGGAAGTTGGAGTATTTCAAACCAGCCATCAAGACATGTTTGACACTTGATTGTCCAATCTGAGAACATTTGGGCACATGTCTATTCCCATGTCCTCGCTCGGAGAGCCCCATCTCACACAATCTCAGGCTGGTCGACAGGAAAAGGGCAAAGCATGTAGAACCCGAACCTCAAGCTTAGACAGAATAGTTGTCATGAAACGAAACCTCAAGAACTCGCAATTCATGATGGCTCTCTTGTCAGGCACCTCTACCTTCTGACAAAAGGAAAACAAGCAGTGGGGCAGACAAGGTGTCTGGTGCCACCCATGCCACCCTGCGTTGTATGTGTGGTTTCCTGAAGCCTCCGTCAAGCCGGCACAAGAAACTGCTTTCCAGCTGAGGTTGACGGCCAGCACCTTAAATAACATGAAAACACCTAGCACTTACCCCTTAAAACTCCAAGCCCTGGGGAAGTTAATCTTTTACAGACATATAGCCCATGTTACCCAAAAAGTTGAAAAGGTGTGTTATTAAGAGGTAAGAGCAGCTCAACACTGGGCAACACTGGGCACACTGGAACAGTCGACACTGGACTCAACAAGCAATATTCCTGGCACAGGAATGCCTCGAAGAGACAAAAGCCGCGCAAGTCCGGCAACTGAACAGGTCGGCGTGAACGGCTTGGTGACTCGCTGGCCATACGGGAAAGCAAGGAGGCCTCCATCTCATAGTTGCTTTGTTTGACATTTGCGTGATAATATAATGTGTCCAGATATATAAATATATATTTAAACATGTCCTGTAGAACAATAATCAACCTGGGAAGCTATGCTAGAAAACAAGCCAATGTCAAGACACCACAATCAGTCAGCCACGCGTCCGGCCAGCTGCTGCCAAGCCACACTAAACCTCGGGCGGAAGAATGCATGGATGCCCGACAACAGTGGCATGTCAGCACATCGACAGTGTCTAGGTCCTCCAGTAGAGAGGTTAGAATAAGGATACCCTTTCTGTAGTCTATATATTTTAGCAGGCGAACCCTCCCACCAAAAAAAAGGTATAAGGGCACCGCTGGGGGACCTAGGTGTATAACGGAAGCAACGATCCGAGCATTCAACAAAGGAGCATGTCAGGGCAAAGCATCTGAAGGAGTCGCGCAGTCAAGCTTGAAGCACAGGTCCCAAGAGCTTTCATGCGTGACTTGAAATGTCACCCTGTTCCGAGCAATGCACGAGCCAGCAATTCCGACGATTTGGGACCATTTGAGAGTAAAGAGTAACTCGTACTCGGTTGCTTTCTGCTCCCCCGCTAAAAGTTTAACTTCTAGTGGTTTAATGGAAAACCCATTAGTTGGCAAAAAGTTAAAGTCCTAACATCCAAGCAAAATACACCAAAGAGTTCCCGGTCCGTGTGTTTTGGGGCGAGAATCAAAGGCAGACCCGTGCCGCTTCCCGCCGCTTCCGAAAGCAAATCGACGCTTCGGACCATGGATCACATCTGTTGCCCTCGCCGGCAGGTGTCGGCTTCGTGCGCCGATACTGTCGGGCAGTGCACTGAGCGCTTTTCGGGGACGTGTCATCTTGGCCAATCCTGTTGGCCGACCGCGCTTTTGTTAAATCCCACAGATCTGAGTCCACAGAAAAGCTGCAACCTCCTCTGCCACGCTCATTTCCAAGATGGGAAGTCTTCGTTGACTAGCGTTCCGCCCCGAAAGCGAGCAACCTTTACGAAGGTTCAAAATGCATCTGCCGCTACGCGACTCAGCCATATTCGAATCCAACTAGGAGAAGGACAGGCTCGCAGCGGTCAAGCAACTCTCCTCCGAAGCTACCCAAGATGGAGCTCCAGACTTGGAACTAGTTAGAAACAAATGCCTTTGTGATATCAACATGGAACTCCCATCTCTACCACTTGTCAGTGACGGGCTTCGCTTGGCCACGACAAAACGGCAACCTCAAGATCACACAAGACATGTCCCGCAACCATCTGGGTAAATTATATCAGCTGTTCACCAACCTAAACAAGAATTTCTCAGCAGCCTGAATAATATTAATAATCATGTATCACGGAAGCTTCCTACTAGGTGAGTTTTCAGGTCGCACGCCAGAACCTGTGGCAAAGTCACTCGCTTCGCCAACACATTCTGGTATTTAAGTATTGTCCCAGGTCCTAGGCTTCACAGGGATCAAAAGGGAATAAAAGCCACCGCTCTGAAACCAAGACGCAAACTGCCCAAATCGACAACGCTGAAACCCCATCGGGCTGGCCCCCCCCCCACACGGCACGTGCGCGAAACAAAATGAGGCGCCCACCAGGAGGGTGGTACGCAGGCCAAAAAGTTCACGAAAAAGAATCCTGAACCGCGAAAGGAGGACATGCATGTCACTTGAGCTCGTGGGTTTTGAGGATACTTCTCGGGCAGGATGGAAATTGCGGAAAGGGAAAGCCCGATTTTTTGGGGGATTATTTTTGCTGACAGATGTGTAGAAAAGTCCAGGGATCACGCGACATACAACAACGAGGGACCCCACCAAGACAAAACCTCAGCCACTCACTGAGCTCAATGAGAAACCCGCCGGCGTCTTTTCCAGCAGGAAAAGAAGTCAACTGGAGGCCCCAGCCTGGAATTGATAAGCAAACAGGGCCAAGCACTGCATATCCATTTCGAACCTGGCAATCTAGATTCGGGCCAGATCCCGGGCATGGCATGGAGAATACAAGCCACAAGCTGACCCTAGAACACCGGCCACTTGGTTTGGGATGTGCCACAAACCAAGCCATAGGACGCCAAAGGGCATGAGTTCTTGGCGCTCTTGACCCAGCTTGCCACGCCGGCAATCAGAGCAAACTTTGGTCGGGCCTTCATCTAGTCGACTAGGTCCTCCAGTGGAGAGGTTAGAATAAGGGTACCTTTTTTCTGTAGTCTATTTTAGCAGGGGTTCCCTCCCCCAAAAAAGGGGTAAAAGGGCACTGGGCGACCTAGTCGAGGTTGCAAACATGGCCAGCGAGCCCCAGAAAAGAACGTCATGAAGTCAGGTCGCTCGGTACGGAGCTCATGGAACCCGTTTCGCGCGCAAGGGGGCCAAAGGGCAAGGGCCAGGGCAAAAGGGGGCCCACCCCAGGGTTCCCTGGCGGTCCAAAGAAGCCGAGAAATGGCAGAAAACTGCGCTGAGAATGTGCCTGGGGGGGGGTCTTGAAACTGGAAGGTGTCCAACTTGTTGTTCTCCTTTAAAAGGGGCACCAACTCAAAAACAAACACTCCCAATGAGTCCAGCTCTATCGGAGACCCCAGTTCCGGTCCTTTGATATAGCGGCATCCGATCACCTTGAGGTCGCAGACCTCAACCTGTGTCTTCTCGTCCTCGTTTCACGAAAGCCAAGCACGGCTGGTCCCCTTGAAACCCACGGTTTTCACATGTTTTGTGTCAAATCGCAACGTGTCACAGAACAAAGGGTGCGACGAATCTGGAAACAGGAACTTCACCCTCGATGGGTCCCTTGTGGGTTTCATGTTAGTGGGCGAGAAAGACACACCCTCGGTTGCGAAATCTGCTCCCCTGCTAAAAGCTTAACTTTTAGTGGAAAACCCCATTAGTTCGCAAAAAGTTAAAGTCCTAACATCCAAGCAAAATACACCAAAGCACCCACTTCAGTCACTTCAACCCTCCGGATCCAATAGAGAAAGTCAGAGGGCACCAACCCCCGAATTTCCTGATGGCTTGGGGACATTTGTTGCCCATGTTCAGAACATCCAACTGAAGCTTGCTGCGCGTGTACATGCGTGAGAATGCGTGTTTCACAGTTGAAGCATCAAGCACAATATCTGCACTTCCCACAGTACTTAGATGAACAGCCTCCGTTTGCCTTCTACAAACTGGGAAGTTAAGATTCGGCCATCCCTTCCAGTTGCTCGTTCTCGAAAAAAGGCGGCTTGCAGCTACTTGCGATTGGTATGCCATTGGTTCATTGCGTTGGAGCTACCAACGAGGGATGCCGAACGTTGCCGCACAACTGGATGACACATTCTGCTGCCCACCGCTGATCCAGTAGACCCCCGCACACCCCCGAAACACACCGCAAGACAGATGCGGCAACAACACATGTTGATATGCCAAAGTGGGAAGCCTATCCCCACGACCGAAAATCGCTCTGGAGTATTTTTTGTCGCAGAAAGTGGTAACTGCGAAACCCTTCAGCGCAAAAGCTTCTGAATGCTGCAACCCTCCTTGTAACTGAACACGAAGATGAGGAACCTCGGCGCACGTTGGCAAGCGGCCATGGGAGGACAGCACCTTGAGGAGAAGTGGCAACATGTGGAAATCAAAAGGGGATCGCTGAAACACTAGGCTTAGGTGCCACGAAAACATTGGGCTGCTCTGTTCCCGGGCCCCTATTTCTTAGATGCGACGCTTGAAGTGCCAGCTTTGCACGCGCTGTGGTATCTGTGGTTGGCAAGAGAGCCATGGCCAAAGGGACATCCACAACAACCAAGAGAAAGTTCGGACAGCACATACGCCCCCTCCAAACATCACCCCATGAAAACAGAAAAACAGACGTATCTTTAAATACCCCAAGGCGATGAACGAATCGCACGAAGGGAGAGACTATAGGAAACATGGGTTCACCTTATTGCTGTACAAGCACCAAGGTGGCGCCCCCGTGCAAAAGCGGCCGTTCGAGCAGTTGATTCAGCTATCCCCGCTGCCTTCCTGAAAATGTCAAGCTCTGACTGACGACCTTTCGTTAACAATCTTCTATTTTTGTTTCGAAAGATTGATGGCTTTCCCTGACAAAGGAAAACACACATCCCCGCACTGCTTTATGAATAGCACCCTCTATTATAGCAAATGTGTTTCGCAGTTCAGGATCTTGTGACTGTTTTGGGGTCCTCAATTGCAGCATTGTTTCACCCGGAAAAAAAGGGTTTAGTTTTTTACTCTCCTGATCTTGTCTGGCTCAGGCTGGACTAAGCCTCCGAAAAAATATGGGCCAAACAAACTTGGCAAAGAAGTCGAGCAAGAAAAACGATCAAACAACTCCTGAATTGACTGTTTTGGTCCTCTTTAGTGTCAACGCCTTTTTGGGTTGCTGAAATCATTAGACTCAAGCCGTAGCTTTTGATATTTAGGGTTGTTCACCTAACCAAGCTTTTCCCAGCTCAAAGGGAGCTGGCTTGGGATCTAGGAATTTCATTTTGCCAGCCCCCAAACCATCAACTTCTTTACAAACTACGGTCAAACAGTCACAGGGGATTGCTCACAAGGGGCCCTGATCCTCTTTAATGTGACTGTTTTGGGGTCCTCTTTAGTGTCTAACCTTTTTGGGGGTGCTGAAAAAACGGTCCTTGGCAATACACAAGTAGAATTGGCAATACTAAAGTGAGCACTGGGAATCTGAGAGGGGGCCTTGGCAATACTAAAGTCGAATTGGCAATACTAAAGTAAGTACTGTCCCTCCCAGATCGCCAGGATTTTGCCTAAAGAGGGTCCAGCTGACCGGTTCCATTCCTAGCGAGGGGGGGGAATCAAAGCAACCTAAAACTTGCCGAGCAATACAACCCAATTCTAAACCAACTGATTTCGGGGGATTTCATCTATTGGAGAGAGGCTGATAATTCGGCGTGGGGGCCCCGATCATTCATCAAACGTCACCATAGATTTTCTTCAACCCAACCTAGGTTCTAAACAGCTGCACCGGCGTTTTCATCCGGGGGCCACTTGTAGAATTGGAGGGTTGGTTAATCCTAATCCTATAAATCCCTTCTTCCGCACGCCTCCGCATGAAATCCCTCTTTGCCACCGGACATGTAGCGCATGCGGCGTCACGGAAGAGACAACAAGGCTCCAGCGGGTTGAGGCGAGGTGAAGCACTCTTCAAACATTCGGTCGCCAACCACAGCGCCAGCTTTTTCTTCACCCCCAATGCCCGATTTGTGGACCTTGGTCAAATATTTCCTACTCACTCAACAGGGCTGGGAAGGTGTGGGTTGCTGGAAGACTCGCTTCGACAACAATCCCCTGAGCGCCTCCTGCGCCTCGTTTCTAGGGCTCGGGCAAACTGGCCCCAGAACCCAGGCCAATGTGGAAATTACTAGCTTTCGAGCTCACTCCCTGGACTGGACAAAAAAAGTAAAAACTTTATGTTTACCACTGAAATGGTAAACCCAAAAAACAAAAAATCCAGGAACTCAGGAAGTGCACAAGCGGGAACCGTGACGCCGATTTCCCACCGAGAATTCTCCCAATTCCCAGTCTCTGCCGGGCAGCAGGTCGATCCAAAAGAGCAGGTCAATCGTTTGCTCCAGCGGTGCCCAGGCCTCAGAGAAACGCCGCCGAAAATCGGTTTCGCGTGGTGAACTTTTCGGGCCGAAGATCTGCACCAAAACACACATCCTGAGAACCCCCTCGTCTATCTCATATACCGCGTAAGAAATGCCCCACAGCCCTTTGTTCACCCCTTGAAAATGCCTAAAATAGAAGTGAACTACCTCATAAATTGGTTGGCATCCCAGCTTACAAAGGAGCATCTTAGCGAGGCTTGCCCTCAGCGTTTGTGAACTTTTGTCATCTAAACGTGATGCAACTGTCTGCTTTTTTGGCTTTTTTGTTTCTTCTTGTTTCTTTCTCCGGAGAGCCGACATGGACATTTCCCTGAGGGGAAAGAAGATTACGAATCGGAATCGCTCGCCTCCCCCCTCAAACCCCACTCAGATGCCCAGTGGCCATGGGAAACAAGGGCACCCTTTTTGTGTTGGTTGAGTTTGAAAGGGAACCCTTCCCCAAAAAAAGTTGAAAAAAGGAAGCAACCCACTGGGCAGCTGGGCCCATCTCCTGAAAAACGAAACGACTCGGGGCCCCCGCAGCCGCGGAGGCCGCCTCTTGCTCCTCAGTGTGACCTTGGCGTGTCCGGGCGGCGTGCGAAGCGCGAAGCGGCAGAACATTTTGGGTGCGACTGCCGGGTGAAGTATCAAATTTCACCTGAAATATTTTTTGGTTGGGGGGCTACTCCCCACATAAACCACCATTTGGGGTGAATTCGGTCGTGTGAGGTCCTTATAATTCACCCAAATGCCTTACCCACCTGACCCAGGGCCAGCGTGTGTTTCGGCGTCCGCATTCAAACACTTGAAGCATAACATAGAAGGGTGCTGGGACACTTGGGTGTGGTTGTCAAAAATTGGGTAACCCAAAAAAGGCTTGCCCTGGTAAATGGAAAACCAAGGTCGATTTAACCTGCGGTCCAACTCCCGGCTTACCATTTTGACCCATCAACTGGAACCCACCAGAAAACCCTGCTTGGAAGTAAATCGTGCGAAGCAGGACACCCACTGGGCTCCAAACAAGACTTTGACATGGTATATACATATATATATATATATACATATATATATATATATTCATGCAACATGTCGATCACGGGCGGCTGTTGCCTTCTATGCATTATATATATATATACCTTGACGTTCAAATGACATAGAATAATTAGGCGGTTTTTGTTTCTTCGGCAGTTCGTAGAGATACTTGGCAAGTCAGTTGTTTCTGATTGACCCGCCAATGGCTGGCAAATGGTCTGTGGAGTGACCTCCCAATGGCTGTTTTGGGGTTATTTGCCAGCCATTGGGCGGTCCTTGAACAAGTTTTCGGGTTTTGCGGGCGTTTGCGATCTTTTTGCAGGCGTGTTGCTGGCGTTTTGCCGGCGTTGTGCGGGTGAGGACACCTGCAGCATGCACTGACGGGCCCCTCACAAAGCCTTGGACGCACTAGCGCAGGTGGCTTTGTATGGCAGGCTACATGCAGCTGCCTAGCGCACAAAATCCATCTGTTGCCAGCAAACCGCGCAATCCCAAGCGTTTTTGTCGTTCATTTAGAAACACGCGAAATGCAGTCGAAAGACCAAACTACAAATCATTCTTTGCCGTTTGAGGGTGCAGGTATGTATATTAATCCACTCCTCTGTCTAGGAATGTGGGCGTGGTCCATTTGCAGTAGATGTGAAAACAACCCGCACATGCATGCGCCACAGCGAGCCGCACAACCCCCAACATGCGACCGGCAACCCTGCATCCAGGCTGCCAATGTAAAATTCGATGAAGGCCAGCTTGTAGGGGAAAACTGTGCCTGCAGGTCGGAAGGCGTCGACCCCCAAACGCAGCCCAAAATCAAGCCTGGGTGGATCATAGTTTGTCAGGTGCCCAGCAGGGGCGCCCCGAGCCCCAATCACCAACAGGCCAATTTGGCGCCAATTAGCTCGTGTCTGTCTAATCACCTGTGTGAGTAGACATAAATCAGGCAGCCGATCAAATGAGATCTTGCAGTCTGGAAGGTCGCTGCACTTCCCCCCAATACTAGGTTAAAGTGAACTGTCCGGGGGCTCAAATTCCTTTTGTGTGTGGCTGCCCGTTCAAAGGCTTCTATATTCGTTGCAAGAAGGCCTCGTTCCGACTGGATCTACTTTGGCGAACGTTTAAGCTGGTCGACGTGCTGTTGGTGTCTGAAAACACGGCAAATAAATGCCCGTGAATATTTGAGTCAAGTCATCACCCTACCTGAGCGCGTTGCCAGTCATGCGCTTCAGGGCTTCATCCCTCAATGCTGAACAGTTGTAAATGTCATGGTCGTAGGCGTGTGGTCATTTTGTTTCTGAATATGATGGTTCCCTCACTTGGGTGTGGCTCAAAAAAACGGTACCTAAAATGGATTCCTGATAAGTGGAAACATACACCAAAACCTGCGTAACCCCACCTGTTCAATTTTGAGCCACACCCTCTTGAACATCCCTGATTGTTGTCCCAGGCTGTTGGTAAAAGTCAGGACTGCCCCTGGCAATGGGGTGCTCTTTACCCTTGGCAACAAATGGTTGCGCCATGGCTGCATGATGTGGCCAAGGGCAAAGTCATGCACCGGCAAAAGTTGCACGATGTTGCACGCTTGCTACTTACCAATGCTCCATACTATATTCTTGCTGTTCGAATTCAAGGGTTGGCCAACCCATACGTCAAAGAATGGCCTTACCAGATGTCCGAACAGCAACGATGAATTTATGAATCTACAGGCCTTTGGGCGCTCGTGAAAACTGAACGGATGCTGCGAGCCGAGCGAAAAACCAGATGCAACAAGAGATCATAATGTTCACAGTTGGTTGATGTGAAACAGTGATCAGAGCAGTAACAAGTAGTCGTTAATAACCGGTTGCAACCAGTGATCAGCTTGGTTGGATGCCATTTCGCGGCTAGCAATGAAGCTCTTGAAAGTTGGCAAAATAACTCTGGAGGTCTTCGGACCCCTAGAAATGCGGGAAATCCTTGATTCCCCATTCATGATATCTGATATTCAGGTGCGAGCAGATGTCGGAAAGCGCAACCTGAAGGCCTGACACATCTTGCCCCGGATGAAGAACACCATTCCTATTAAAAGGGGCGAGGAATTCTCACTACAAGGGGACACCCCCTATCAATCAACCACTGGTCCCACTATTCTGCCAGTATCAAAGTCACCCCCAAGTGGCAGGTTAAATGGACACCACCCCAATTTCTGGCTTACACCCCCAGAAATGGTCCAAAACTGACCCCAGAACCAGGGGTTCAACACTACAAATGCCAAAAATGTACACCTCCCGCTGAAAAAAACCCTCGCCTGTGTAGAGCAGCAAAATGCCCACCACAAAGCTCCAGAACTTGCGCAAAGGGTTAGTCTCCTGCGCGTGCCAACGTTTCGGCGCCCACTGGTTTGCCCAAGACATGGAAAACATGTACCTGGAGTCTCCATGACCCTTAAAAAATGGGTCCATGACCCCAGAATTTTGGGTAATTGACCCCTGAATTTTGGGTAATGACACCATTTTTCCGGGGTTATGGAGACTCCAGGTACATACACGTTCAAACCATAGTAGTATATATATATATACACATATATATATATATATATTAATTGCTTAAACATACATGTACATGCTTACAAACAAACATATATACTTATATTGTGCATGTACACACATATGTGTTGTTACTTCTTGTTTTTTTACTTCCCCTAATCTCAGTAATCACCACAGGCAAAGCAACCCCACTACGACTGGCAACTGAATGGGTAGCATGTACTTTTCCACCCATTGCATGTCGGCCAAGCAGCTCCTGTTCTTTGCCCCGCAGCTGAAAATGAAGAGAACCAAACAGCTAACGGCTGAACACACATACCAAACACAAACAAGCAACAAGCTCGTAAGCTTACCTGGACAAAACATGCCACCAGCCCCTGCCTTCCATAAACATTTCTCTGGATCTGCGTGTGCATGTCCTTTTGCGGGCACACCTTTTGGGGTATGAAGGGGAAACTAAGTTTCCATGGAGACAAACCATTGAACAAGACCTGCTAGGAACGCAAAAGCTGAACGATTCCCATTCGACGTACCAAAATTGGCAGAATAAATGACTCTCGTCCTGGATGAACCATATTCTTCCTTCAACCCATGCGGAAACCTTCATGGGCGAAAACGGGGATACAACACCCAGCTTAATGCTTGTAGTTCAAAGGCCGTGTGTACGAACCAACTGGGAACCCTTGGTAGGACTGGCATAAGTTACCGGTGTGCGTCCATTCTGGGAAACCAGCCGAAGGGCGCGGTTTGAGCTAGCTTCTTACCATGTTTGGCTTTGGTGCCCATGAACAAATAACATGTTCACCATCATGATCTGTTATCTTCAAAAACCGCCAGCAAAAAGAAAATAACAAAAACAAAAAGTGTCGCCTTTAAGCAAATTAAAGACTTAGGATGTCTTTAGAAAAGTACGCAAAGCCGTGATTGGTCACAATGCCAGGTGTACTATATAGAACAACATCTCTCCACTTGTTCGTTCGAGTCTCCGCTTCAAATCAAGCCGAGCAAGGGCAGACAATCTTGACCGACCACAATTTTAGGGGTTGAGTCCCCATTCTTTTCAACCATCGTTATTTTAAAAACCCAGCCGAATCGCTTGGATTCTGGTTTTCTGAAAAGAAGGATCCCTGAAAAGAACGGGCCCGCATGCGACTAAGTGCGAGCAAGTCGCCTTCATGACAATGCCTCGGCCACCGCAGAGCTCAGAAGTCAGAAAACCCGTTTCCTCCCCTGCCCGCCCGCGCAAAGTTCTGGGGCAGGCGCCTTTTTTGAGATAGATCCGTTGCATGATTCGTTGGCTCACGGAGAAACATATTCGCAAACACGATGTACTGCTCTGACTTCGCACCTTATAGCCAATTATGAAATGGTCCTTCCGGCAACCATGACACACGAATTAAATGATAGTGCAAACGATGATAACGAGGAGGAGGAGGAGGAGGAGGAGGAGGAGGACGAGGAGGAGGAGGAGGAAGACGCTGATGATGTTGCTGATGCCGATGGTGCTGAGGCTGCTGCTTCATGACTGCCTACTTGGGTGGCAGCTGTGCGCAAGATCCCCGACAGCCAAGCAACTGTACAAAAGAGAAACATCAACTACACAACACCGTGAAAACAACACAAACAACACAATGACGCTAGCACTGTTTTTTTCTTTGTTATGGAGATCAAATGTACTCAAGCCCATGGTTCTGTAGACACCCATGTCCAAATAGCATGGGACACACCAAAACCACGGCGCGTTGACTGCTTGACCCTCTGGGGCCGGCACAGGAGCCGCAGCCATTCTGCATGCTGCTCAGGTGTGAGGCAATCCTTGGGAAGTGAACGCATCTGGGCACAAGTCTTGGGTTGGGGACCCTTGGATAACCATCTTTTAGATGAGATTCACAACCAATAAACACTTTTGAGGTGTTTCAATGTCCTTAACATTCACACTCATCTGATAACTTGGAGATTTGTTGATCTCAGAATTGACATTTTCGGTAGGACATATGACTGGTTGGGAACCGCCGAGATAGGGGGGAGTGTGCCGTTCTCGAATCGGTCTTCATAGGAAGGGAACTCATCAACTTGAGCATGGAAAAGCACCTGCCCAGAGGGAACAGGGGGTTTCACGGCTCATGTTCGTGAGCGGTTGAAGGAGGCTACATCATCAATTCGGTGTATCTCTAAGCTTCACTTGGCCTCGCAGGCACAGCGGATCATGGAGCACTGGTGACAGTCGATCCCAGGTGACGCCCCACGGACAGCCCCTCACAGTGGAGCATGGGGACCAGTCAAACAAGGGTGAAGCCGGGCAGTTGGACTGATCTTTTGGGCGAATCTGGCTTTGGGGCCCTCAAAGATGGCTGCTTGTTAAAGGGCCCCTGCGGGGTCAGGGTTCTCCACTGAAGGGCCCCGGGGGTCCGCATTGGAGGAGTAACGACTTTTAGGGTGGATAGAAGGAATTCCTTCAGAGTCCATTGACACAACTGCACTGAGTTCGAACTCTGTCGCGGCCTTGACGTGGTTGATGTTTCGCCCAAAGCGGCGATAGCTCAGTGGCGACTTGGACCAGCTTGAAGCAAACAACTATCATTCAGCATGCGGAATCCACCCAATAAGCTCGGTGTCACTCATGCGCAACATGGCCCAAGGAACTTACTGCCAAACGAACGCGGCACAGGATTTGGCAAGCAAGAAACACATGTTAACTGCTTGAACAAAGGGCCCGAAATATTGCATGTGTCTTTACATACTGTTGGCAGGGTCTTTAAGTCTCCTTTGGCCAGAATCACAAGGCAAGCACTGCCATGATCGAGGTTTGCGCCGAAGTCTTTTCAAGAAAAACTCTCAGTCTGATGTTGAGAACACCGAATACGCCTTCGTCAAGAAGCGCCCCATTCAGCAGACTCTCTTTTAGTCTGATCAGAAATTGAGATGCAGCAACTTGCGACATAAAATGGGAAAGCAAACAGGATTCTAATAACTTGTTCCAAGGCAAAACGGAACGGATAAACCTGTAGATCCTTGTCGGTGACGTAGCAAGCCCCGCACCTGATGGTGTCTGAGTTCCACCACCCCAAACCACGGCCAAGGAAAACTGTGTAAGCAAAACTATCCGGCCACCAAACAAATCAACTATGCCACCAGTTTCTTTGTGGAAACTCTCTTGGGGTGCACATGTATCAACATAATCATGCGTATGCAGTGGGGAGTGGGGGATCAATGAGCTTACCCCGACAAATCTGCATGTCTCACCTCTCCTGAGAAGAAAGGCATGAACATCCCGATTCTGATGCAATTTCTAGTCGAACCGCTGTCCCTGGGGTCCTTTCCTCAGTTGTTCAGTGACACTGGAAAAAAAAGAACCGTTTTTGGGGAAGACCATTTTTAGTTAACAAAAAGGAAAAGGGTGCCACTGAACAACTGAGTTTCCTCCCAATCCCAAGAGATATGGTCCATTGGGTGCCAGCGGGCAATTCGAGGGGAATTCAACTGGCGTGCAGGCAAGCCGCACGTTTTGTGGCTCCGCCCAAGCCTAGCCCCGGGTGACGCGCTTGCGCGCGTCCGGTTCCGACTGTCCAGTTGCACCCAGCCGTAAGAAGGGAACCTTCTTTGGGTGGAACGGGTTCAGCAGTTTGAGAAAAGACCCACCGAACACAAAAAGAAGACATGGTGCCACTGAACCATTGGGACTGTGCTCGCTGGGTTGATCGTCCTCGTAACCCTTCCAAGTTCTAACCTACATTTAAAATACATAGAACTTCGCAGCAGGTCCGGGTCTCAGTTCACCCGTGCCCCCATTACTTATCATGGATCCGGAAGCAAGGATCTCCCGCAAACACCAACACACCAACGCCCTCTGATTCACCAAGCTGAGCGGTGCTCAGGCCCAAAGCGGACCACACGAAGCCTCTGGGGATGCGATCTCCATCGGAAAGCCCCTTGCCATATGGCTGTGGGTCAAAAATAGGTACCCAAATGGAACCCGGGTAAATAGAAACATGGACTAAAACCTGCGGTCCCCTGGTGGTTGGATTTTGAGCCATACCCATATCAAATGGCGCTGGAGGCAGCCTATGGGCCAGACGATGCATGCTCATCCCAGTCGCTCTCGCTGTGGCGCGGCGCGAATTGGTTGCATCGAAATATACCCTCTGCAGACCTTAGGCGCGTTGAATCGCTGTCGCCGTGGTGACGTGCGCATTTTGAACATCGACGATGAACCCTCTGCGGACTTTGGGTGCGTCGGATCGCGCTGTGGCTGCCACGACTGAAGATGGGTCGAGTAGCCAAAGTTCTTCTAAACTCAAGATGGATACCTGCCAGTGCAGCTGGATGCCTTTCAGTGCTGCTTGGAAGCTTCAAAGACAATTCGATAGCAAATAACGACTCGCTTGGTACAATGCCCATTCAATTCCTGCTCAGTCGCAATCCATCGCGAAGGAAATCTATATAGGATTGCAACCCCAGTCGTGCCACTTTGCGTGATTGGGGCTTCACATAGTTTCAGATTCACTGCTTTGTTTATGCGTAGCCGCGTCTTTTCCGGCCAAGGTCCCTTGGAATTCATAGGGAACTTGGACGCTCCGCGGGTTCATTCAGTTCCGGTTTGAGAAATGAACAGGTTCTGCTTGGACTGTACCGTGCTTGGCTTCTCTGCCAATTTGCTTCGAGGACAATTGGCCCCAAAGTTCTATGTCGTGTTGATTCCCCATGTCACCTCAACCATCCTTCTCTTCAAACACCTAACAGCTTGTCTCGTTTTGTGCAACCACATGCCGCGGCCCCGTGAAAACAATACATCCGCTGCCCTGGGTCATACATGATGCATTGGCAAATAGGTACTGTCTATGTATATACATGTATATAGATGTATATAGATGTATATAGATGTATGTATGTAATGTATGTAATGTATGTAATGTAGTGTAGTGTGTGCATTTGCTGCAAATATGTATATGTATATTTGTGCTCACACCCACTACCATGTGGGATCATCATGCCTGGGAAGATGCTTTCTCTCTGTGGCACTCGGGCTGTCTGATTCGACCTTTGGCGTTTTTGCCTGGCCATGAAGATGTGTATCTTGCATGTTTGTCATTGCAAGTTTATAATGGTAAAAACACCTGATGTTTCCTCTCTGCTGTCAAAGCGACCCCCAAGAACGCGCGAGCAGGAATTGTTGACGTTGTCCTGGCAAATTATTGTTCTAGTCTTTGGCTGCGCGGCAATTCTCTGCAAGGCTTGATAAATTCTGAATCAAGGCTAAAAAATGGGCCAGAAGCTGAGTGCTCCTGGATGGCAGTGCTTCAGTGAAAGACCGACAGAAATGTAGTTCATGGGGTGTGCGACAATATATGTATATAGATAATATGAAGGGTAGCTCCAAGAATCTCGGAACATCCCATCTCAGGGTTTAAGTTTTGGCATGGCCGGCAGCTGCTTCTGATCTTTTCACAGTTACGAGCGCGGACATGATATAGCAAGGATTCACCCACCAGAAATGAGGCATAACACAATGATCCGGCAGTTTGATCCCTGTCACATGGCATGAGCCTACTGTCGATGGACGGAATTCTGCACCACCTAAGAACCATGGGAATCCATTGTTTGTTGGTATGTACAGAGAAATCATCATTCCATGGGTTTCTTAGGTGGTGCCTAAGAGGATTTCGTCCATCCACAGTATGAAAGAACTAGCGCAGGAACGTTCGGCTCGCCTCTGAAAAGCGCTTCTTTCTCTTCTTCTCCTCCATTTGGGGGTCAGCGACGGCCAAGCCTGACCCGCTGGAGTGAGCAAGGCACTTCAACCGGTCGGATCAAGTGAGGCAAGGGGCTGCGTGCTATGCGATTGGACCGTTTGCCAGTTTGGTGCAGATTCCTCGACCCTCAGAAAAACTCCAACTTCATATCATGTTGTTCTGCTCTTCCTGCAGATTTGACGACTCACAAGGCGATGGCTGCCGATTCTCTGTCTTTCAAAATGGTCTTCGACACAGGCACAACACACGCTGGAACACACACTGGCAAACAGAAGGGAATGCAACCTACGACATGTTCGCTAAACTGACTCACAAGCACACAGATTAAGAACACTAAGCTAGAGTGGCTCACCAATAATGCAGGTTTGCCCAAGACTACATATTCACCTCGTGCAATTCAGCAGGCCAAGGAACTGGCATTCATCAACATGTAAGATAAGATCGGCACGGCCATACGCTCTTGGTCAGTTGTCAACTCATTTCGATACGAACTTCGGTTGGCGGGGTGAAACAGGGGAGCGTACCCTAGATGTCTTCAATCGCTTAAGTATAGGAGGCAGTGCGGACGTGTTCATTACACCCTGGCGCAAGCAAGATGATTTGGAATTGTTGTTCAAAGGCTTCTAAACTTATGCTACGCCACCTGTTTGCTTCGCTGAACGACAAGGGTTTGACAACAACACATGCATCCAAGGTTGTCTGACGTCGATTCACACACCCTTTGAACAAACACAGACACACAACCACATCACTGCATCCGAGCAAGCTCTTTCTGGCTGTGGTGCATTGTTTTACATGTATAATACAGGCTCCCATGCTTATCGCTTGGAGAAACGCAAAAGGCTCAAAGTAGGTTCGATCGATCTCCAACGCGCTGAGTGTCAAAGAGGAGTCTCCAAATTTCAATGCTTTCCGTCAGAAGGTCCAACTTGTTTTGACAAGACTTGGATCTTCTGCGGTCATGGGAAAACGGCAGTGAGCTCCGTTTTGGGTTCGTGTTGGGGAACTAAAGCGCCCTTTCCTCTTGGGCGCTTCACCGGTCCGTTAAAATAAGACTGGCTGGATTATATCGTTCACATGTATTCATGAACCGCCAGTCATGAAGCCCAACAAAATTCCTTTTAGGTCGCCAAGCCCCTCTCCTGGAGAAACACTTACACGCCCTTCCAAAGGCAAAGCTCATACCATCGTGGAATTCTTGGGACCAGCAAGGAACGAAGGGTATGAAGCCCGGAGTGCGGCGCGCCAATCATGTCCGGAAATGTCAAACATGTGTCAAACATGTTCTAAAAAAACATAGTACAACGGAGGCTTTGGTGCTTGCCAGCGCCTTATATTCATTTACATATGTTCTATCTATATATGTATATAATACTATACATCCTGTTCAAAAGGCCATAAACTTAAAGTCTCTCTTCCGCAATGTTGGGCTGAGTTTCTCCTCTCCCTGCCTGAGATCGCCTGCGCCCCGGACTTGGCCTGGACAGCGGTTCCGGGTGTGCCTTAAGCAGACTCAGCTGATTGAATCAAGCAACCAGCGCGTCATTTTCCCCGAGGACTCTTTCCGCATCAATCAGCATAATTTTCCCTGACGACCCGAGGGCCGTGGTTCAAGCCTCTAAAACGGATTCAGATTCCTGGAGCCGTGGACTCGGTCCGCATCTTACCGTGGACTTGGTCGCAATGCAATCTCCCCACTTTGGCCTGTGTGTGCCAGTAAAACGTACATGATTTCCCTCTTTGCCAAGGCGCCCAACCATGAAACTGAAAACATGGGCGTAGGGTTCGCCTAAGATAGTCCCTTCAAACCCAAAGGGAGTCCACCATTTTGGGAGACTCCCGCATCGCTTCTTGCCTTGGACACGAGGATGTCCACGCTGTTGCGCCGGCCCCTCTTTGGCAGGACGTCTGGGACCGCATGGGGCGGAGTGACCTGGCGAGAAAAATCGCCAGTTCGCTTTCTGGATCAAAACAAGGCCCGCAATGCCCACGTAAACCAACCACGTTGCGCAAAGGATGCGTAGTTTGAATCTGGATGAAGTTCAAATGTTAAAGGAAACTCAATGGTAAGTAACTAGCCACGCAAGGCAAACATGCAACGTGCGCTGGCTGCAGTCAGGCCGGTTACCAGAGCGAAAGGCGCAAAGCCTGCGTGGGACAGGGGGGAGCCGCCTCAAACGCAGCGCGAGGAAAGGTGAGGTGAGTGAGTGAGGGAGTAAGTCGGTGGGTGGGGGAGTCAGTGGGTGAGCGAGTGACTGAGTGAGTGAGTGCATGCGCGGGTGCATGCGTGCGTGGGCCTGGGTGGTTGGGATGCTGGGTGAATGGGGCGGGTTGGGGTGTGGGGTGGGTGGGGTGGGTGGGTTGGGTGGGTTGGGTGGGGTGGGTGAGTTGGGTGGGTTGGGTGGGTTGGGTGGGTTGGGTGGGTTGGGTGGGCGAGTGTGTGAGTGGGTATGTGTGTGTGAGTGGGTGGGGTGGGTGGAGGTGGGAGTGGGAGTGGGAGTTGGAGTGGGAGTGGGGAGTGGGAGTGGGTGGGGGGTGGTAATTAGTGGCTTGGAGAGAGGTGAGTGAGTGAGTGAGCGAGCGAGCGAGCGAGTGAGGAAGCAAGGGAGAAAACGAGCGAGCGGGGCGTGGCGGGGCGGGGCGAGGCCAGGGAAGTGAGTGAGTGGGTGTTTTCCGAGTTCCTTTTTACGACTCATGACCATCCCTTCTAATTGCCGCCCCCGCCCAGCTTCCCCAAAAGGCCACCGAGAAGAAGATTCGACGAGCCACCCTTAGACGGTGCTTGCCGAGCCTTGACACCAAGAGTCTTGGGGCTCTCCCCTGGGTCCTCCAACCCTTTTCTCTGTAGTCTAGTAGGGGAAGCCTCCCAACCAAAAAAGGGGTGAGAAAGGGCACCTAGCTGGGGGACCGAGCTTCCCCAAACGTGAACCCTCAAACCAAACCCCTCGGCCAAGCGGCTCAGCCGCACTCCCCGCCTCCGCCTCCCACTGTGGCCGGGGCTTTGCAACCTCAGGGCTGACAGCAGCGCCGGGCTCCTGGCGCGATCAAGCAGAGAATCCACGCCAGGCACCAGTTGGTACGTGGTTTCCGGGCGGCCCGTTTTCTGATCCCCCGCTAAAAGTGACTAACTTTTGGTGGGTTAGATGGAAACTACCACTTAACACCAAAAGGCTAAAAAGCTAAGGAGATGGCTGGGAGCCACCAAGGTTTGAGTGGTTTGTCGCAGAATCTCATAAGGCTTCATCCACTGGTGCAGGATTGTGCCAGTGCACGAAAAGCCATCTGTGGCCATTTGACCACTTACTGCAATCCTGGCTTCCTTCTTTGAGAAATCCAAGGTAGACGCAAGCTCATCGGTGTCACTTTTGGGAAATTGACCTGGTCTTAAGTCTACCAAATGGTTTGCACCCATCTGCGAATTGCACCGAGGAATCTAGGTGTGACGCTTTGCTTCTATGCCGGGAGCTTGGACAAGAGCAACCACAGATCAAAGTCTACATGTCTTTGAGCCTTTCACATGGATGTTTGCAAACTTGTCAACCGCGCTTGGCTTAAAGAACGTGAGGCTCCTAAAACTGGGGTGCGCCCGGCTTCACGTTTGTCTCCCAAAAAGGACCCTCCAACGGGCCCCGTCCGCCGACGTTTGGTTCGCTGTCCCTGCCTCACTAGACAAGCCAGAGCTGCTATCATCGTCTGGCCTGGGTTGTCCATCAGATGTTGCAGGATTGGCCGAAACAACCAGTTGGTAAATTCAGCTCCGCTCTGACTCGTTGTTTGCCTTGGTGGTTTTCGAGGTTTGGAGGGGGGGGTCCATTTTCCCTATACAAAAGCCATGGTTCAAATCCCCCAGCCACCAATCCAAACCGCCAATTCGGGGTTGCCTGATCAATGTTGCCCTACGAGTAGCAAATTGTTCTAGTGCTACCACACGTTAAAACATCGGCACTAGGCACCCCTCTGGTGGAACTCACCAAAAAGGGTCGCATGGTCACCAAAAAGGCTTGCACGGTGGACTGTCCAGAAAATTTACTAAGCCCCGTCAACCGCAAAAATCGCCTCTCTTGCGGGCCTTTGGGAGTTGACGACCAAAGAACTGCACACGTAGAACTACATATATTGACATGTGTCTACTATTCTGATGCGGCTTGTGTTGCCGAAGAAAATTGAATGGATGCCAGCCATTGGCATCTTGCAAGACCTCCAATGCTGGTTCAAGGATCCTGTCCGTCTCTGTTCCTTTGGCACAGTGACATACACATGCATATGTGCATACGACAAAATGTTGCATCACTGCGCCTGTGACATGTCTTAGCTTTGAACAATGGATCTGGCCACGTCCGCAGCAACGCGCTAAGCTGAACCCGATGATTCTCCTACGATGCCTCAACTTGGCTTTGAAGCACGCTACGACCCCAGTCTAATCATTCGGGCCTTGGAATTAGGAACCGCTTCGCATCCCTTTCCGGCGTCTCTCAATCTCGGGTGCCGGCATGCGTGTCAGGCACGGAGTTCTGGGGAATGCGGAATGCGACACAAACCGCAACGCGTCTTGTCTGCTCCGTTGCTGTCGGCTGAATCAATTCGTGGCACGCCCCTCAGCCGAGCTGTAAGCAGGACGCGTGCGAGCAGCTCCCCGAATACCGGACCTGACAGCTTCCCCTTCCGAACTATGCGAAATTCAGGAACAGCAAAGCTCATACATCATGACAGCTGACTAACAGAAAGACAAGTGTCTATGAAATCCTGCTAACTGTTACTTTACCTTTGTTGCCTCAAACCCTGCACCTTCAGGCGGGAAATGTCAGAGACCAAAGCACAAAAGCTTGCAGCTGAGATCGTTCTGTTGTTGAAGAATGGCACTGAAGGCTCTCTTGGGCCTACGGAACACTACCTTTCTGGAGGTCCCCTATCTCAAGACACGCCGCAGTACACAGCAAGCGAAGGCCTTGCCACAAAATGGCGCATCCTCAGACATCCTCACTGCTAGAATCTCTCATTTCATGTGCATGACAATCCAGAACATAGTAAAACTGACGTGAGATGATTAACGTGATAACAGGAACATATTCAATGCTGGAGGGCAATAATGCAATTTAGCTTTCCTTTCCAAGAAGGTTCCAAAAAGCCGGGGGCCCTCTTTTTAAAGCAACAACAAACATGACATCTGTCGCTGATGACGAGACCTCCGAAGCCTTATGTGCGAAAATGCCCCGTATGACATTTGAGGGATTCGTGAACCCATTCGTCGGCGTTGCAACTTGCCCTCCACCATCTTTCCGATTACCAATTTGATGATTTGGATTGGTTTGGGGAATTGAACCCCTGGTTCGGAAAACCACCCCCAACCACCAACCTAACCACCAAAGGTCTTTTCCTGGTGGCTACCCTTTAAAACCCAAAAGGATGTACCCTACGGAAACAAAAGCAAATCCATTTGCCCTCCCACACGTCGCCCATTTTTTCTGCGTGCATTAAAGAACCACGAATTCGTTGCGCGCATTCGATCCAATCTGCCGGGGCGAGTCCACTATTCAATACATGTCTGGGGCCTGTCAAATGCCAATCGGTTTCATTCCGAACAAAAGCAAAACAGATCTATCTTTGAGCTCGTAGCTGCGTTCTCCGGAAGCTACAGTAGCGAGAGGAAAAGCAAGGGAGCCCCTTTTCAGATCAAATTTGCGTTGTCCAATGACAAAGAGGACTTCCTACGAACGGCCAGCTTCCTGATTTTCCCTTCTTTACTTACCCAAAGAACCTGGAAGCAAAAGGGTCTTCCTTGCGTGACATTGACTAATAGGCCTACGAGATCAAACGGTCCATTCGCGTTGAGGAATTGAGTAGGACTCTAGGACTCCCCACACAGGAAGAGAACCATACATCCATTTCTTGTTTGCTTTGGAGCAAATTCAAACATGCCACTTGAACTCCAGGGTACACCAAATATATTGTTCGATTCCATTTCTACAAAATGCCAAAGTTACCTTCTACACCCTTGCACCAGGGTCCTTCCACCCTCCTGGTGGCTTTTGGGATTTTTCCCCAAGCCTCACCCCATGTGATCCCCATGGCTTCGCCCCGGCAGCAGAAAAAGCCCTCCGGCCATCGTTCCTTGTCGGTCGCAGCTTGGCGGTAGCTCGTTGCCATGAAAGTTGCTATCAACCCCAAGCTGCAAAGGCCGCTAAAAGTTGCTTTCTGGTGCTGTCTGCCCTTGTGGGTTAATTCGGAAAACCCGTACAAGTTGGCAAAAGTTTTGAAGCCCTAACATCCCTTTGGCAAAATGCTGGCCAAAGGTGATGTGTTCTCTTCATTTTTGCCCACGGGAAACGAGGGGACATGGAAACGTAACAGGAGCCCCCTGAATCAGCGTGGCCCCTCCAAATGTGCATCAAGGGGATGGGTTGCTACTGGGACATGGGGGGGTCTGCTAGAGGAAATGTTGAAGGCAAGGATAAAGTCGGCAACCACTTGCCCCCCCCCCCCCCCAACACCCATTGGCCCCCCTACAGCACACGCACGAGGTGACATAGCTGGAAAACCTATCTTTGGTACATGAGGACAAACACGTTCCAAGCTTTGTTTGCTGTCGACGCGGAGCTTTCAACCGGTCTGTGTTTCGGGTGTTTTTCTTCGAAGATCATGTGCAGTGTTTTTCTTTGTGCAAATCATACAATATGTATACATAGAATATAATACAGTTCTAGCATACATCATTCATCAAAGGCTACCCTTGATGCTCAGACCATGGTGGTGAAAAGTTGTATTCTGTCTGAAGGTATCGTGGGATTCCATCCCCAGTGAGATTCTCACTTTGAAGAGGACTTTTCCGGATTTACAGAAAGTGGATAAAGCCACCTGATTCGCAGCGGAAAAACCCACGCGCTCCAGGTTCTGACAGGCTTGGTCAATGGCTCATGGGCTTCCGGGTGGCTCCCCTCTCTGATATTGATTTCCAGGTCCTCCAGATTTAAGGGTACCAACTTTTTTTCTGTAGTCTATTTTAGTAGGAGCACCCTTCGCCAAAGGAACCCTCCCAACCAAGAAAGGGGTGAGCAAGGGCACTACTGGACCTAGTGGATTATAGTCCAGATGCTTTGGCTGGTCATTGGCATCGTTGTCTCGAGTTGCTCACTCCCAGAGACCTGAACAACACCAAAACCTCCAGCCAGACGCCACTCAAAACCAATGGGCCGAATGGTCAAAGTTGCCATTGTGCTTTGAACCTGCAAACATGAATCACCAGTCTACAGGAGATTGATGTAATGTCTAAATAAGTTAAACACACAAAGAAGCGAGCTTGTTCTACACCCCCGCAAGTGAGCTTGTTATACATTGTGCCGAATGATGATCCATGATAGTTGAGAGGGAAGGCCTAAACTCATAGCTCTGAGCATGACCTGGTTCCAAGCTACATTAGGTACAGGCAACATTCAAAATGGCAACAAAGAGACAAGCAGCAATGAACATGATTCTTCTAATCGCGTGGATTGAGCCGCCTGACCATTCTGCATCCATTCCTGGTGATCTGCTAGCAAAACACTCACGGCGTGCTGACGACGCATGCCTCAAAGTCGAGATCTCTGCGTAGCTCCGCAGCCCAGTGACCCTCGTGGCCAAACGGAACTGTTGGGGTTTAGTACTTTTGGTGCGAAACCTTCCGTTCGGGTAAAACCACAGCAAGTACGGTAAGGGACAAAGACGCATTCACCAATGTAAACCGCCAAGTAAGGTTGATCTGACGATGTGCCAAACAAACAAAACACTTTGGTAGACGAACTCTGCAAATCCCAAGACGCTTGTTGGTTGCTCTCCATCTCCAGATTCTAAGGCATGCCAGCACAGCCGATTGAATTGGGAGAAAGCTACAAACGGAGCGGTCCCCTCAAACTGCACAGAAGCAATTGTAACAAAGACAATCACACTCCTACTTCTAGGCATACGCAGTTGATTCATGCCAAAAATTAAGCCTCTTGCTCTCAGGTTCGCTCCTTGCCTCTGCTCAAAATGGAACCATTCCGTGCTTCACATGTGGGGTGAAAACTGCAGACCAGCCGTGAAACACAACTGGCCGGGCCACTTTACACCTGGGCGGAAGGATGCGACAGTGCATCCAGGGCCACATAAACTGGAGCTGAAATGGGCCATGGAGCATGTCCCAAAGTCATTGACTTTGGGCGGGTGTTTGAAGATATCAGTAGGCAGGTGTAGCGGGTACACATACACAAACAACTTAGCATGATTTCAGAATGATCGGGCATCTTGACAGAAACAAACATACACTTGCGCGTGTCTACATCCCTCATGGCATTCTGCAGGCACCTGGGCACCCTTGAGCAGCTCTTATGCGGAGTCAGGAAAGTCTCTTGAAATGTGTTTAAATGTGCCCAACATTTGGGCAGCTATACGCATTGCCGACGTAGGACAGCGACTTCCCGCCCTGCAACGACTGCCCCTCGACAAGAAACATTGGAAAAAAAGAAAAGGACAACCCAGCTTCCCTCCTGGTGGTGCTCAGCTTGCTCTTCAAATTGCAGCCTTTCCGTGAGACTAAGTGATGCACCAGCTGACAGCGCTCAAAACCGAATTGCAGGTAGTCCTGCCGTTCTACCGGCCCTACCAAAATCGTTGCAAAGGTTTCAAAAGCCCACGTGATTCACCCAAATCATGATAATAGTCAAAGGGCTTTCCCTGAAAACGAATCACTCCTCCACTAAAGGAAAGATCGCCGCTGCTTTGTCTGGAGGCCCGTCAATCAGAAATGAACATTCAACCCTGAATGCTACCTGGCAAAGCAGACCCTCCTGCACGGGAGAACGCTTCATTCTGGTACATGTCCTGCCTGCAGAGATCTAACACGAAACAACTCGAGCTTAACAATCTCTGGCCGCTCCGTGTCGTCTCAACATCTGCTTCTCGAAGGACAAGCCACTGGCATGTCTTCAGTCTGCATTCAAAACCCGGCCCAATTGCACCAGAGCAGATCGAACCACGGGGAGCCCTGTATGGCCATGGGTCAAAATCCAAATCGAACCCCCAGTGAACATCCCAATCCCCACTAAAATAGGTTCTAAGATGGGTGGTGAATTCACCTACCAACCAAAATGGGATCCCAAACGGTTTTGACAACCACAGCCATGTTCAAATCACCCCAGGCGAACCACTTGCCATTGGTCCAAGCGATCTGCGCCCTCAATCATCACGATGACTCCACTGGGCTGCCCGTTTTCTGACCCCCCGCTAAAAGTTGGACTCACTTTTAGTGGGTCAAATGGAAACTACCACTAAACACTAAAAGGCTAAGAGGCTAAGGAACCGGATGGCTGGGAGCCACCAAGTCCATGCATGTTGATGGATCTGGGGCCGATACCCGTGTTTCACTTCGGCAGAAAGAACGCGTGGGTCAATTTTACACGGGGACTGAATCCCAAATGGTCTGCTGCTATGCTATGGGCCGATGGAATTTCCTGCAAGACTCAAGCTGAAAGACCCGTCACTCTTGTTTCTGCTTAACCTTGCGTCTCAAACCATGCTAAGTCTAACACGCCCAAGTGATGGCAAACTTCCGTCGTGCAACTGCTATGGCTTTGGGTTAAGTCTCCAGAAATGGGTTTAAACCATTTCTCATTGACCGAAAAACTTGATCTTTCAGGACCTGGAAAAGTAGGCCTTTGGCCGAATTTCCATTTGGAGCCAAGATCAAAATCAAGGAGGACCCTGGTTTTGCGGGTCCTTGGAAGACCAGGGAATATATTGGTTGGTTGCGTTAACAAAGTCTCAAGCCTTCATCTTTCGACCATGCCAACACACGCATGACTGTCTTGCAGCTTGGCAGCCCGTCCGGCGCCGAATTTTCATCCATCTAAATTTAAACTTTAGCAGATAAGTGGGGAATCCCACTAAACCACAATAAGCAAAAATGTGAAATGGTTCCCAACAACAAACATGCTATGTGGAGTTTCCGATGCTAGGCTAAGTGACTTTCCGGCTACGGAAGGGCCCGCGAACTGAATGGCACCACGAACGTCCGAAGTACTTCACGCTGACTTGGACTCTCCAGATGTTTCAAAAATGGACAAAGGCCGCGAAAAAGGTATCAGCCTTAAATTCGGATCCCCAATAAACTGTAGCGGGGATTCTTATAACTTCCATTTGCTTAAACCCTCTGAAAAAATACATATTTTTCAGAAATACATATTTCCACTAGTGATTGATTCCCTTTAAAACTACACGAGGGGAAAAAAAACCTTAAGCAAATGGAAGACAACTATATCACCGACCTCAAGGGAAACGGCGCACGAGGTATGAGCGCCCGGCCAAGCTTGTTCACTCTGGCGCCTCGCATTGGAATCAAAGCCGAGAACTGGAAACGAACAGGTTGCAGGTCCCTGTCTCCTCATGCGGATTCAAACTAGAAGTCTAAGCTGCCCTAAGATCCCTCGCTAAAAGCTTAATTGTTTAGTGGGCTAAGTGGAAACTACCACTAAACACTAAAAGGCTAAAAAGCTAAGGAACCGGATGGCTGGGAGCCACCAAGAAACGAAAGATTGGGGTATCTTGGTGGGATGTGGAATCCTTCATACTGTCCGACGGAATCTGGTAAAGACAAAACTCAGCTGCATCCGGCTCGTTATTCCCCGACCTGCGAGGAATGCCCAAAATCAACCCCCGCAACAAACAAGCATAGGCTTGGAAAAAGGGTTCGGGTCGAGATTTAATTTGGGATTTTTTTTTGTTTTATTTTGGGATTTTTTTTGTTTTCCGTCCTGGCTACTAAAATGCTGTAAATTACAGCATTTTCTCGCGAAATGTACGTATTTTACGCTAGTCCGTCAACATCATCAGCATCGTTTTCAACATCCCCCGCATGTCCAGCCAACATCCCCAGCATCACCAGCAAATTGGCTTCCCGCATCTCATGGTAAAAGTGAGGATTCAAATACGGGCAAACTAATCCCTGTAAAACACCTAAAACGTGGCGGCAGCCCACCCCATGATGATTGAAAAAGTGACGACGGCAGCCCCCCCCCCCATGATGATTGAAGAAGTGATGATTCCAAAAGGACCAAAACAAAAACAAACAACAAAAACAAAAACAAAAAAAAGCAGTGGGGGGGGGGGGGGGTTCAGTTCCTCTGCGGCAAGGCCTCATGGTACAAGTGAGGATTCAAATACGGGCAAACTAATCCCTGTAAAACACCTAAAACGTAGTTAGGGCCAAAAAAATATTTAAAAAAGCAGCGGGGGGGTCATCAGTTCCACTGCGGCAAGGCCTATGGTACAAGTGAGGATTCAAATACGGGCAAACTAATCCCTGTAGATCGAAAAAGTGATGATTCAATCAGGGGCAAAAAGTCTAAAAAATAGCGGGGGGGTTGGGGGGGGCGGCAGCCCCCCCCATGATGATCGAAAAAATAAGGGCAAAGAATCTAAAAAGGAGCGGTCGCATGATGATCGAAAAAGTGATGATTCAATTAGGGGCAAAAAGTCCAACAAATAGCGGGGGGGTTGGGGGGGCGGCAGCCCCCCCCATGATGATTGAAGAAGTGATGATTCAAAAAGGGCCAACCAAAAAAAAAAAAAAAAACAGCCGGGGGTCATCAGTTCCTCTGCGGCAAGGCCTCATGGTACAAGTGAGGATTCAAACACGGGCAAACTAATCCCTGTAAAACACCTAAAACGTAGCGGGGGGGGGGGGGGGGCGGCAATTCCCTCCATGATGATTGAAAAAGTGATGATTGCTGTGGGGGGGGTTGGGGGGGGGCGCATGATGATCGAAAAAGTGATGATTCAATTAGGGGCAAAAAGTCCAACAAATAGCAGGGGGGTTGGGGGGGGCGGCAGCCCCCCCCCATGATGATTGAAAAAGTGATAATTCAATCAGGGGCCAAAAGTCTAAACAATTGCGGGGGGGTTGGGGGGGGCGGCAGCCCCCCCCCATGATGATTGAAAAAGTGATGATTCAATTAGGGCCAAAAAAAACAACAGCAGGGGGGTCATCAGTTCCTCTGCGGCAAGGCCTCATGGTACAAGTGAGGATTCAAATACCGGCAAACTAATCCCTGTAAAACGGCACCCCCCCCCCCATGATGATCGAAAAAATAGGGGCAAAGAATGTAAAAAGTAGCTGTCGCATGATGATCGAAAAAGTGATGATTCAAATAGGCGTGCATTTTAATCGAAAGGGGGGTGGCGGGGGCCCAAGAGGAACTTGCGATGCTGAGGATGCAGGAAGCCAACTGGGAAAGCATCAGGATGCGAAAAGCCAAAGCCAGAAAGCCGCCAAAACCCAAAAAGCCAAAAAGCCAAAAAGCCAAAAAGCCACCTGCCGCAGCGGAACTGGCAATGCAGAGGATGCGAAAAGAGAGGAACTGTGAATGCAGATGATGCGAAATGAAAAGCCACGAAAGCCACATAAAAGCCACAAAAGCCAAAAAGCCGAAAAGCCACCGACCCTGAAAAACAAAAATAATTCCCAAAAAAAAAAGAAAAAAAAATCCTAAAAAAAATGGCCCTCCAAAGGGTTCTGACAAAAGAGAGTTTCATCAATTCCCTTCTTATTTGGCCAAATCAAGACATTGTCAAATAAGAAGACCAACATGTCATGTAAGACGACCAATAAGCAGGAATTTGTCTCAAGCAATTCCTCCTAGTCTGCCGATCAAAAGGTCAGAACATGTTGGTCTAAGTCGCAGGGCCGGAAAAGGGTGACGTCCAACTCACAGGCCGAGCCCAGCTGAAAAGTGAAGCCTCGGCATACCAGCCTTGGGTTCTCTCAATGGTGGGCCCTCAAAATGGAGCTTGAAAGGCTTGAGCTCGAGAGTGGGCATTTGGATTTCCCTTGAACCCCCACAAAGGATAGCCTCCAAAAGACGCAACAGCATATTGGCCGTCTGCACAGGTTTGTCGTTCATGCTGTTCACTCGCCAGCCTTGGGTACAAACTCAGAGGCGTCTGCGCGCAAGGACCTCGTCAGGTCGTCAGCCGTGGGCGCAAGTAGTCGTGCAGGGAACTCCTCTTGCTGGTGCGATAAGTAGGGAATGTGGGAATGAACCCAGGGGTGCCCTCAAAGGAAGATGGCTCATAAGGGTCATTCCTTCATTCCCTGCTGAGCACCAGCAAGTGATGAGCTTGGCTTACTAGCTAAGGTCCTTGTGCTTTGCCAAGGGTGTCACACACAAAAAAAACAGAGTGATCCTCCCACGTCTTTCACCCACAGTATAGAAAGGACCGATTCCATGCGCTCAAGAGGGGCTGCCAATAAGCAGATTGGATGATGGCTTCAGAAGCCCCATGTTGCCCGCTCGTTGTGAACCCTACATGCACTAATCATGAAATGTCACCAACGTGAATTACTGAATCGATAACAAGTACAAAATCCAACGCCAGTGCCAAAAAACATCCACCCCAGCTTGAACGGAGCATGTTAGTTTGTCCAACTTGGATGTGCATAAGTGTCAAAACGGTGCAAATCCCAGAGGCAGAATATGAAATTGACAACTTCCTTGCTCATGAGTCATTCTGACCCCGCCCCAAAGCGGGCCTCACCAAGTTTGCCAAGTTTAAGTGGGAATGGACACAATTAGGCTTGTGTTTTTATCGAGGGCACCCCTTTGCGGCTGGTTTTAAAGGGAAACCAAAAAGAAACTAGCTATTTTGAGGGGGGCTTAATAAGGGCTATTAGTCCTTGATAAGGCTTATTTAAGGCTTGCTAAGTCTTGTCAGTGACTGCCATGTCCCCACTCGTGCAACAAAAGTGGCTGCCGCAACAAGACACACACAAATGTAACCTGCGCTGTTTGCACCCTGCTATCTAAGTCTAAAATCTAAACGTTTCATCTTCGGAATGTTAATCCATGAGATGGCACGGACCTGGCTTTGTCGAATATTCAGATTGGACTTCAGATTGGTACTACCAGTTGTAAAGCTTTGAGCCTGATTCTGAAACATGTTTGCTGCGAGATGTTACGACACTTTTTGGGATGAGGCAGTTTCAACCCAGGTAGGCGATCCCCATATTGCTAAACTTCTCACAGGACCTCTAGAACTTAGGAAACCAAGAACTGAAAGTTAGGGAGGCTGTGCAGGGCCGGAATGCCACATGACACTTAGACCAACCGTAAAGTATGGCAAAAAAGGCGTGTCAAATAGGGTGCTTGGTTTCCTTTTGTAGGACACCACATATGGGTTGGCAAGGGGGATGCCGTCCCCCTGCCTTTTCGGGTAGAACGATCGCCCCGACCCGGCGACACGACGCGACGCGACTCAACGACTCGGCGCTGGGAGCCGGGCTTTGAGGGTATCTGGCGACACGCTCCGAAATCGACATGTCTGGGTGAATATCATGCTAGGTCTTCCAGTAGAGAGGTTAGAATAAGGGTACCCTTCTGTCTGTAGTCTATTTTAGTAGGGGAACGCTCCCCCAAAAAAGGTAAAAGGGCACTACTGGGGGACCTAGCATGCATGAATACGACCACAACCATATGGTAGTGGTTTCTAACTCAGTTCTAGGAACAAACACCTGAACACCTACCTACCCTGTGAACTTCCTGAACGCAGCTGCAAGGTCCAGCCGTCAATTGCCTTCAGGAGCCCAGATATCATCCAAGAACCAACCAGCTTCCCAAGCATAAGCATGGGTTACAAAACACGCTGTGCTTAACGAAAACAATGTGAACAGCTTACTTTGCGGACTCACAAAAGGAGATGTCGCAACTATAACTAGATGCAGTCACACGCATCCTTGTGTCGATGTAGCAGCGGCAACGCGACTGGACGTGCTGTATCGTTGGCCGGGCCTGAGCATACCTGTTCAAGTCAACATGGCCGCAGCCTGTTCATAGCATCCCTCTGGAGATATCTTTAACACGTGGCCCGCCCACAGGCGCGACATTGAAGCGACCGACCGCCTCGACCGGTTGGATTATCATCCCTATATACTGAATGTCAAGTTTGAGCGAATTCCCATGACCACTCACAGAAGTGGCATCCGCAATCAATCATCTCTCATCTCTCTAATCATGGTGCCTCATTTCATCGTTTCAGCCCGGAACACTTTCGTCACACAAAAAAAGAAAGGGGGTGTCTCCTAAAATCTTGGGAGCTTCCCTTCTAGGTCCTCCAGTAGAGAGGTTAGAATAAGTTGGTACCCACTTTCTTCTGTTTCGTCTATTTTAGTAGGGGAACCCTCCCAACCAAAAAAGGGTGAACGACTGGGGGACCTAGCCTTGGCCCTCCAACCACCCAATGCAAGAACAGCTCTGCCCACCCCGGGAAGCCCTTGGCCTCCGGCACCGGGCCATCACCACGGACCAGCGTGAGCTTCAGAAGCTGCCTGAGGCTGACGGCTTTCGTCCGTCAACCCGGTGCTTTCGGGGGTATTCAATATGGGCGGCGCCTATTGATTGCACTGTGGCAGTGGCTCTAACATGTTTTTTATTTGTTTTTTAATGTTGGAATGACTTTTTGAGGGCGTGCAAGCATGAGTATGACTCCTTTGAGGGTGCGCAATGTGACAATGTGTAACACGCGGCGTGGCACGATTCCTGTTGCGGAGGTATGTGTGTGTGGGGGATCCTTGTTACATAAGTAAACGGGAAAACAGGGCTTGACAGTGCCACAGTTCCAGCTCGAAAGTCGCAACTGCTCATCGAATCCGGTCGCTGCACCCGGGCCGTGCCGAGGAAACGGGTCTTGCCTCTGGGCTGTCTGTCGGACGTAAAAGGATCCGCTAGAAGTGTAGAATCCAACTCTGAAATGGGTCCAAATCCACTCTAAATCCAAATCCAGTCTGAATCCACTCTAAGAGTCCAAATCCACTCTAAGAGTCCAAAGGCCAAGAGCCTGCCGGGCGAAAAAGCACGGCAAGTTGACATAAGTTGACTCTGCGCAGTGGCCAGCAAGGTCTGCTCTGGAAGCAGTCGCATCGAGTCGCATCGATGGAAATCATCCAGAGCCAGGCGGCTTTGACGAAAGTTGAGTACTGTATCTGGGTCCTCCAGCTTTGAGAGGTTAGAACAGGGATCCGGATGCATTACACACCTGAACATTGCCTTGTAAATGGTGGTTTCCCTTTATTTTGGTGGAAAAAGCCATGTTTCAAATGGGCAAAATGTATCTTTTAAGGAGCCCTGTTAGAATAAGTTGGTACCAACTTTTTTCTGTTTCGTCTATTTCAGTGGGGGAACCCCTCCCAACCACAAAAGAGGTGACAAAGGGCACTACTGGGGGACCTAGGTATGTAACAAAGGTACGTAGCGATCGTATGTAACGAGCGAGCACGATGGACACTAATCCGTGGGCAGCTCGAGGTTTCCGCGCAGTGTGACACGAAACCGGCTTGCCTCATGACATTTAACTGGACCTTCTCTGGCGCAAGTTGGGTGTGGCTGAAAATTGGAGTATGTTGCACTTGTCCTAGGTGTGTCATATGTTTGAGCAGCCAGTTTGCCCTCAGCTTCGTGAACGCCCCAGCAGGTATGGCAGAGGTGAAGAAGGCACTGATGAACCATTCCAACCAACCGAATCAAGCACCAATTGTGCGACTAACCTTCTTTGGGTTCCCCTAAGCCAAAGACTTCCCCCACCAGACCAACCGGCAGTGAAACCTATCCTTTGAAGGTCATTGGTTTTCACGCTCGCTATCAACACTTTCAATCGTTTCTGTGAGCAGGGGTAACTGAGGACTAGCTGAGGATAGACACTGACTAAGGCTACAAACTGGGAGATCGGTATACCATCGCTGGAATTAAACCAGCTCGCTAAAATCAACCTGCAAGAAAATTGAGTTGCAAAATCATCGGCCTGATTCAAAAAGGCCCTTGTTGGCAAATTCTTGGCTCATCAACCAAGAGCTGCCTTAACATAGTTCAGTGTGTTTTGTCATACATCCAAATCGACTCATATCTTTGAAAGGTTCAGACATTTGCTTATGTATTGGGGGCTTTGCTTTGGTCCTGAATGAATCACGCAAGTTTGAAGTAGCAATTTCAGCAGCTCACAAAGCAACCGATTGGGGGCCGTAGAGTGCCAAAGAGGTGGGATGCGAGCACACTCTGCCACGTGCCAAGCAACGCGCTGCATGGGTGCACACCAAAGCGTTCCACACGCGCCTCATAGGACACCGGACGCACCCAAAAACGAGTTCCATCTTGGCTCATGTAGCCCACTCTCTGGTTGCCAGTCCTAGGCCACCGCGCTTTTCTCTGCACTCCTCCAGCATCTTCTCCGGGTCAGTTTGGTTGTTGACGCCTTGGTGTCTTAAGGCCTTCAGCTGCAAACGCATCGGCTATGTTTGCTCTGCTTCTTCAAATCAAGTTCAAAACGTGCTGTTCAAATCTAGGCTGCAGGGAGCTGTTCAGCGAGGTGCTTGCACTAACTTACGCTGGCTTACGCGAGCACAAGGGTGGCTCACGTGAACACCCACGCCACTGCACTTGCGCAGCCTTACGGGCCTTACGCCACCCGCATGCTTGGCCTCACGCAACTCCAAGTAATGCTGAACCCTGCTTGAATGAGCAGCGCTCTTGGTACTTCAGGGGCTATACACTACTTGCGCGAGGGTGTAGGTTGCCTGCGCCGGCATTAGTCGGTCTTGCAGCTGCCTCTGCGGACGACACACGGGCACATCAGTGGTTGGTTGATGGTGTATTGTTTGTTGTGTGCTGCTTCTTACGCGTTGCTTGTTCTGTGGTGCTTGTTGCTTGTCGTGCTGATCGTTGTTTGTTAAGTAGTAGTAGTAGTAGTAGTAGTAGTAGTAGTAGTAGTAGTAGTAGTAGTAGTAGTAGTAGTAGTAGTAGTAGTAGAAGCAGTAGCAGTAGTAGTCGTAATTGTAGTCGAAATCGAAGTCGTAGTTGTTGCCGTTGGCGTTGGCGTTGGCGTTGGCGTTGGCGTTGGCGTTGCCGTTGCTGTTGCTATAGCTGTTGCTGTTGTTTTTGTTGCTGTTGCCGTTGCTCCTGCTGCTGCTGCTGCTGCTGCTGCTGCTGCTGCTGCTGCTGCTGGTGCTGTTGGTGTTGCTGTTGCTGTTGCTGTTGTTGTTGCTGCTGTTGCTGCTGTTGCTGCTGTTGCTGCTGTTGTTGCTGTTGTTGCTGTTGTTGCTGTTGTTGCTGTTGTCGCTGCTGTTGTTGTTGTTGTTGTTGTTGTTGTTGTTGTTGTTGTTGTTGTTGTTGTTGTTGTTGTTGTTGTCGTTGTGGTTGTTGTTGTTGCTGTTGCTGTTGCTGCTGTTGCTGTTGTTGCTGTTGTTGCTGTTGTCGCTATTGTCGCTATTGTCGCTATTGTCGCTGTTGTTGTTGCCGTTGTCGCTGTTGTCGCTGTTGTTGCTGTTGTTGCTGTTGTCGCCGTTGTCGCTGTTGTTGCTGTTGTTGCTGTTGCTGTTGTTGCTGTCGTTGCTGTTGTTGCTGTTGTTGCTGTTGTTGCTGTTGTTGCTGTTGTTGCTGTTCTTGCTGTTGTTGCTGTTGCTGTTGCTGTTGCTGTGGCTGTGGCTGTGGCTGTGGCTGTTGCTGTTGCTGTTGCTGTTGCTGTTGCTGTTGCTGTTGTTGCTGTTGTTGTTGTTGTTGTTGTTGTTGTTGTTGTTGTTGTTGTTGTTGTTGTTGTTGTTGTTGTTGTTGTTGTTGCCGCTGCTGTTGTTGCTGTGGCTGTTGCTGTTGCTGCTGTTGCTGTTGCTGTTGCTGTTGCTGTTGCTGTTGCTGTTGCTATTTTGTGTTGTTGGTGGTGCTGTCGGTGGCGCAGCTGGTGCTGGTGCTGGTGCAGCCAGCCAGCCAGCCGGCCAGCCTGGCTGGCTGGCTGGCTGGCTGGCTGGCTGTCTGGTTGTTTGTTGTTGTGGTTGTGGGCTGGTTGGTTGGCTGGCTGGCTGGTTGTTTTTGGGTTGTTCGAGGAACATGTCGGGAACCTGGGTGGTTGCGTCTGGTTGCTCGCACTACAAGCGGATAAGCCCAGGACTGCGAATCCTGTCTCCCGCCAGCACCACGCGCTCAGGATGGGCACTGCTGGCCTGAGACTAGCCAAGAGAACTGCGTCCGCAATAGGGAGAAAGCAACGGGGAAGCTAAAACAAACGTGGGAAATTGTGCCACCTATCTTTGCCCAACTTTACCTAGATAATTATAATTTTCACTTTCAAACATGTGTATGTGTAATACATATACATATATATATATATTATTACACATCTCATGAATATATTATGCGGGCATAGCCCCTTCTTTATGTATCATGGATTCCCACACTCAATTAATGGCAGGCCTTGTTCCTAGGGGGGTCAACTGTTTGCGCCGGAAGGGACATCGCGTTCATTCTCCAGGTCACCACTACTGGGGACCATGGTGAATCCCTTCAGGTTCACCCGACTCAGCACACAGATGTCAGACCTGAAGCGCAAACTGAGAACCCCATAACTCGCCAAATCTTCATAGCTGAGACAAAAGGATCAATGCACTTGCAACAAACTAAGGGTGATTTGTGCAGAGCACCGTCAGTGATAGACTCAATTAGTTGAATGGATGAGTACACGCGAGCAATGAGCCATAATGTTGGACCCTCCTGAATATGCCTTTCGGGGAACGGTGCCAATAGTCATTTGAAGCCTCTTGGGTGGAAAGGGGGGGTGGCGGGGGGGGGGGGGTCTGGGTTGGGTTGGGGGAGTATGGGTTGGGGTCTGGATTGGGTCAGTATTTCCACTTCGATTTTAGTATTGCTTGCGCTTTGTTTCTCCTCGTTTTCATTGGGGGGGTGGGACGGTGAGCAGAACTTTCCATAATAGCGAACCGCGAAACAGTCCTAGGATTCTGATTTAGGAACAAACAATCTACAATAGCGACCCAGACTAGTAAACGGAGTCCAACATTCCTTCTGCCCCAAGCGGGCATGGGAATCCAGAATGGGCTGGTAACATAATGGGATCTTTGTCCCTTGACAACAGTAGACTGCATGACCTTGACAGTTGCTCATGAAGAGACTTGCTAATTGGGAGCTCAATCTCGGTTCAAAACAAGCCGAAAAAGGAACTCCGATGAGCCATCCACTAGCCCTGCGCCAAGTACAAACAGCTGGCAAATACGTTTTGGGTTGAACCATCTCCTTTGCTCAGGTCTCCAGCCCCACAAAGCATAAACCACCGATCCAGCGCCCTCGGAACAACCTAAGGGCTTTCCACTCAATCAAAAGGACCTGCACAGAGGCCAGCTGCCTTGGAACATGAGCACTGTCAAGTTCCACCTGTCGATTTGTCAGTTTATAGAAACTGATGTCTTCTCAAGGCAATCCAATCCGACACTCCACTTCCATCTTGGAAAGGTATCTTTGGGTTTCATGGACCTTTTGCTGCATAAACCAAAAGCCACCTTGGCTCCGGAAGTAGCTAAAGGGAACCCCTCCAAAGGCGGGTCCTAGGCAAAACGGGGCCACGACTTCAGGACTACTTTGGGGTTGAGTCCTCGCAGGCTATGGGCGCCCGGCGCATTGCCTAGGCGAACGGGTAGCTACCGGAGGCGTTGGGAACTCACGGAATATTCTGACATGAGTCATCATCAAAACCCGGTATGAATAAATGGTTTACAAAGAGCCATGTAAAGAATTAAGAAGGCGGCAGCAGCTATTTGTGGTTGGGATAGTCCCTCACTAACCTTCATCTGCCCGGGTTTTGATTGTGGCTGACGTAGGGTTGGATCACAAGGTCCGGTAAACATGGGACCATTGGTTGGAAAACAACCCATGAAAAAGATGAGATGTCCAACCACCACATGGAGAAAGTGTCCCATGGTCATTTGGGGACCACAAGGGATCAACACCCATGTGTGATCCAATAAATAAATAGAACACTTAGCTATGATTATGCGTAGCAACCGGACCAAATATGATGTGAAATCCTATCAACGTGGGCACCCACTACCTCCTGATCAGCGAGGGTATTCAACGAGCTTTTGTGCGTTGTCCTAACAATCCGCATGAAGAAGATGAACAATGGATTTCACGCAAACTAGGTCCTCCAGTAGAGAGGTTGGAATAAGGGTACCCAACTTTTTCTGTAGTCTATTTTAGTAGGGGAACCCTCCCCCCGAAAAGGATAAAAGGGCACTACTGCGGGACCTAGCAAAGCAAAAGGACCAAAGTGTCGGCAAATAACTATGGAATTGACAACATCACCGCACACTACAGCACAAGCTCCGGCGACCGCCGAATTGCAATTATATGCAATTATAAATCCCAGGACCCCCCAATGGCTGGCAAATGGTCCGTGGAATGACCTCCCAATGGTTGTTTTGGGCTTATTTGCCAGCCATTGGGTCCTGGTCTGAGACGTAGCGATTGCTTTCCTGTTCGGTTGGGGAACACTGGTGCTGAGCGAATGCCACCGGCCAAACGACACCAGGTGGTCTTTTTCGGCTCTACGCGTTCACGCTTGAAAGTGGCTACGCGCGGCCTCCCAAAGGCGTGGAACTGCTCGCAGGCGCGTTTGGGCGGTCGCCTTTTTTTGGCATTGAGAGGCTGGCCGGAAGCCGAGTGCAAGAGCTAGGAAAGAGGATGAGGACGGCTCGGCTCGCTGTTGGGCTCTGGTTAAGTAGGTCCTCCAGTAGAGAGGTTGGAAGAAGGGTACCATTTTTTCTAAAGTCTATTTTAGTAGGCCCAAATAAGGGTGAGAATGGGCACCATTGGGGGGCCTACTCTTAAGCAACCCTTTGTGGGCTCGGAAAATCCAAGACCAGTGTGGTCGGCTGACCGCAAAGGCGCTTTAAGGGGGCCTGCGTGGCCGTGCTGCACGAGATGTTGCCGTCAATTCTGCGCCTCGCAGAAAACAAGATACCGTCAGTCAGACAAACAGTACTTTGTTGGACGCCCCCAGCCAAACATTGCGCACCATGAGACACCCCTGTTGACCATCCAGCTGTAATGGTTCACGGAGACAAGCTGGAAACTCTACATGAAAATAACCATCCACAAAACAACAAGGTTTTGGCGAGTTTCCATAGCGGTGTAGGATCCTTCCCAAAAAGGATGACCCCTGTACTGCCTCACGCGCGGGCGCGCAACCTGAAAGCTTCTGCCGAAGCCGGAGGCGTGTCCTACGTCGACTAAGTGGAGGCAAATGTTGGAGGCTACATCTTTGGTTGGCTTTGGGGAAAATTGAAACACTGGGAGGATGCCCCATTTTGGACATGAATCGGCTTGGCCCTCGTTGGTGGTTTGGATTGGTGGCTTCGTGGTTTGGTCGGCAGTGGTTTCCCATTTACCCCTGTACAAGAACCAGGGCTTCCAATCCCACACCACCAATCAGAAGCACCAACTAAACTTCAAAAATCCCAAGCCCAATCCAAACCACCAACTAAGGTTCAAAAATCCCAAACCCCCCAATCCAAACCTGGCAGAACATGAATCCGTTTCTTGGCCCCGTTTCTGTGTGTTTTGTTTCTCCCCGGAACAGGCAAAACGCACCACCTGGCTCCGTGTCCGCTCCCGACCCCCCCCCCCCCCCCCCGGCCTGTTCCAGGCCTCGACGGCGCCCTCCGGGCGTACGCCCTCCACCAGCAGCACCTGGAGAGAAGATCTCGGGGCTCCAGGGGTTGATTCCATGCTGGGAGGGCGCTCTCAACACATTTTCAAATGACCCAGAGCCATCCGAAGGTACGTAGAAAGCTCATCTGATGAGGGGTTGATTCCCCATTCTTTTCAACCATCCTTCTTTTCAAAAACCGGATCCGTTTTCCCCCGCCATTTTCGCTGGGTTTCCGGAGGTTTTCTAGAAAGAAGGATCCCTGGAAAGAATGGAAACGGAAGGTACCCCTAGAGCTCCGAGCTGCTCTGCTTGTCCTCTTTATTCCCAGGCGTGCCTGAAGCATCGTTGCAACACTCCGCGTTTGCTCTCCCTTTCACATTGCATGGTCGTGTTGAAACACAAGCCTTTGACTCGCCGACCTCCCCCCATGAACCCATGGCTGATACCTTCAGCATGACATTGATCGTTTCACCTCCAGGTAAGATCACTGGTTATGTGTAATATGGACATATCAACCCTGGAAGCGTTCAAGAATTGGCATGGAATCGGACACCCTTTTAGAGGGTTGACAAAAGAGAATGAAAACCAACCACCGCTTTCAGGGGCATGTGATTTAGAAGAAACCCACATGTTTGGTTTGCTTCTCTGAAAAGTGTTTGTTCGCGGAAATGCAATCTTCGTGGACAAAAACACTATTGGCGACCTCCATTGCGGAGCTTTCGTGGGGCAGCACATATCATATCTCAAGAATAGCACCTTTCAGACGACTCCCATACATCAACAATATATCAACAATAAATCTCAACAATTCTGCAACATGATGTGGTCAAGCTGAAAGATGTCGCGTTCGCTGAACTTGGAGCTCCTTCGCGCTGAAGGGTTTCGGATGTTCTCGCAAGACAAGCCTGCACATGGTCCCATGGTTTCTCAGGGGCTTAGCGGCTTTAAGTTGCGCTTTTCAACACAAAACCCGTCCCGCCCAACTATAATCAGTCAAGGTCTGGGGAAACAAAAAGAGTTTCATGAGGCCTAGCTCGCTCGGTGCCAAAAGGGGGGCCTGCCAAAACTTTCAAAACTACCAAATATGCATGCACCTTCGGGTTTTCAGGGGAGATATATATAAATATCGAAGCTAGGTCCTCCAGTAGAGAGGTTAGAATAAGGGTACCCTTTTTTCTAGTCTATTTTAGTAGGGGAACCCTCCCCTCAGAAAAGTTGATAAAAGGGCACTACTGGGGGACCTAGTAAGCATTTCTTCGTGTCTCAAACCAATGGCCAGCGCTCTCCGGCTCTTCCGCCTCGTCCAGGGGCTTCACGTTGAGGCCCAGCTCCGCCCCGTCGGCCTTGCGCAGCGTCATGCTGAAGACCTCAGCGAGCCGCTCGCGCGACTCCCACAGAGTCGCAGAGGGGGAAGCGGCTTTTTGTTTTTTCCGGACGTGGAAACCGGGCGAATGGCGCATGAGATGTGGACATCAACGACCATCCAAGAGTTGAAGTGGGGTGACAGCGGGGATCAACTTGTGGACCAAGGAATCAGCTGAAGCCGTGACTCACCCGCCAAGCAGTACCTTGCGGATGGATCCTGCCATCTCTCAGCTCTCCGAGCGAAAGAATTGGTGGAATCGAGGGTGTCTACCTCCAAACGGGAGTCTGTGGCTTACATGAACCCACTTTCTTCGCGGGATGTAGAGGCTTGGTGGTGAAGCACAGCTTGACAACTTGCTAGCTTTGGGAGAAATGACCACTCCCAAGGCTCTAAGACTCTAAAGCTACTGCTCGAAACTCGCAGAAACACACACGTTCTCTTTATGTGCAGTCCTGTGGCCTCCGGAGTTTGCTATGAACCCATGCAACCGTGACCCGTGACCCTTCAGAAGAACCCTAAGCATGAAAACAACCAAAGAAGCAAACACACAACGCTCATGGTCAAAAACCAGGCGCAGCAAGGCGCCGAGTGCTGTACATCCCTCCCTCTGAACCTAGCACCCGGCCATGGGTCCACATGCCTGGCGGGCCGTTGTCGCTAAATAGGATATGGATCCCCCCAAAATGGCCGGCTTCCTTCTGTTTCCCTTCGAAAACAACCGCAGAACGGGTAACCTCAAAAACACACACATGCGAAACAAGCAAATGGAAGAATGCATCAAAGCTAGTGACGTCTGCCTTCTTCCAATCTAGAAACGGACCAATACGAGTTGTAAATGACCCAATGCTGGACAGTACTAAACTTTCCAGAAACCAGATGAACTCAGCCAAGCTCCCCGGATGTGCTTCTGAGGGGCCTTCCTAGCAATCAATAGGGCTGCCTTGCGCAAGCGGTCTTCATTTTGGTCTAGGTTCCCTTCATAAGGTCCAACTCAGAATTCTGAGTGCCTTGCTTTGTTCTTTCAAACTAAAGAGTTGCCTTGCGCGCGCGGTCTTGTATTACCTTTTTTCCAATGAATTAATAAGGGTGCCTTCTCTTTAAATTAAAATGTTCTTACTCGAGAGTTGCATTAAGCGCATGTTTTTTGTTTTGTTTTTTTCCGCTGATCAAAGGGGTAATTACCCCATCGCCAATCTGAACCCAAGACTAAACAACGCAGCCCGAAACACTTTTGGCCAAACACCGGGGGACCCTACCAATAAAAACCCCTCCCAGCAACATCTCTACTCTTGGTATGGTAGCAAAAAACTTTGTTTTTTTGCAGACCCCCAGTAAAAATAAACAGAACCAAAAAAAAAAAACATGCCAAGAACAGTGAAGAAAATCAGCAACTGAAGGGTTGAGGGTTCCATTTCTGCAGGGCATGCGAAGGTGTGCTTGGCCAGGAAGCCTCCTGAGGGCCCACTTCAAGGGCCTGGCGCCTAGACAAGTAGACGGGCTTGCGGGGTACGGTGAACATGGGGGGGCTGCATCAAAAGCTCCCGTGCATGAGATGACCCTTGGGGAAAACGTCTGCAAAAATGACAAATTTCCCCACGAAATGGGAAAAGCTACCCATGGTCAAAACTGGGGTCCCTAGACGGAATAAAGATTGATCAACCCACCATGTGCTGGCTTTGTTCGTCTTCCTGAGCAAACACTGGTAGTGATGCTTCAGCCCCGGCCGGCGATCCCTGTCCCAGTTGCCTTTACGCGAGTCTGGTTGAGCAACACAGCTGTGCAACATAGCACATTTGGTGACCAAACAACATATGCGTGTTTTTTTTTCCTGATAAGGCTCTTGTGAGAATGTCCGATGAGGTTATTCAGTAACTCTTGGGGTAACTTAATTTCATGGTAAAGTGTTCAGCTGGTATGCTGAACATCTCCCTTGCTGCAGACATAACAGATACCGGAACCGCTTGGAGCTTCAAGGAGCGAATTGTGCACAAGTTGGTCTTCGAGTCTGAGATCACGCTCACATCAGACACGGTTACAATGTCCGGCCGCGAAATACCGGCAGCGTGTGCACACATTTGGCCGTACAAATAAGTGGCCAACTAAACAGTTGGTCGAGTTCAAATACAGCGCTCATTTGCATTGACAGTTGCTCTGTGAAGCTCAGACTGCTTATAGGGCCATTTATGCGTAACAGCTCACCAGTCAATTCCAACATGACATGGTACGAAAATGACCCAACGGAATTCAACCAATGAGCGATCGTGCAGAAACAAGATGGGCAATACGATGGTTGCAGTTCTGCTTTCGTTGGTTTCTGAGGATTGACTTCTCATTTTGCTTGTTACTCCCTAGTGCAGTCCCTATTGGCTTTGCCCAAAACAAAGCTATTCAAATAGTTTAGAGATACAGAAAAACCTGGGTGTAAAAAAACAAAAAATAAACTACAAACTGATGGTGTCCCCTTCCCCCTCAGCCGCCCTTTTTCAGGCGCCTGAAGCGTGCTAGCCAAACTCAGGTGCATCGGGGAAGACCTAAGGCTCAGCGTCACGGGCTCGTTGAACTGGACTCCACATGCATGGCAGACCCCTGTTGTGTCCACCAAGACAACGTTACTCGGTTGTTCAATCGGGATTAGGATCCCTCATCCTTATCCGTTTTTCGCAGCGGGGCACCACTTGGCACATAGACTAAGGATCGATGTTGAACACCCCACACTTAAATCTGCAGTCATGACTGTTTCCCTCCAAAACCAAGGATACACAAAGACAGTGAAATCAGAAGCCTTCAAAGAACCCAAAGAATACCGAGGATCCCTTCTGCGCGGAGCATGGAACAAGGGAACCTGGGCATAAATCCCGGTGTCAGGCCCTGGCGTCGCTATTGTTTGCGTCTTGATTTTAGGGCAGGCGTTGCTGTGGCAACAGGGTTCACTCTAGTTGCCCTTTGAACATACCAAAAGGGATCTCAGCTATTGACCCAAAAAGGTGATCAAGAGGGAAATGGCCCTGCCAAACATGGCCGGGCTTGAAACGATGTAGTTTGGGCCCTGGGGGTGAATCACCAAGCAGCGAAGCTCGGCAACAGAAACACGTGTCAGTGCGGAGACATTTGTTGACACATTTCCACTAGGGATTGATGAGCTTACAGTTGCTCTGAAGACGACCGTAAAAAAGGGTAGCCTTTGCTGACGGACAACAAAGGAAACCAAACCAACTATCTACCCAGGTGCGTCATGTAAAAGCTCAAAGCAACCCTGTTGTAACAACCAATGCCATGATGGCCAACACCGGCCTTCATTGCCTTTACAAGGCGCCACCTTGCCAAATCCTGACTTCTATTGGAACAGTGCCACTCTTCTCTTTGGCCCCAACAAAATGACCCATGACCCATCCAAGTGGAAACTGCACAGCTCCAAGGCATGTTGTCTTACCGGAACGCTCTGTCTCCAGTGGGTTGCAGTTACGGGAACTGCGCATGGCCAAACGTTTTACCCTTCGACCCTTCCTAAAATGATGAAGACACCTACACACAAACACTTGAAGTTCTCCAACTCAACAAGTCCATTGAGAAATTAAACTCGCTGAGGAATCTGCTCTTGCTTCCACTGTCATTCGTAATTCGTCTGTTGGCTTCGAAAGGGAAGCTAGCAACCCGGCCGCAACCCCGAAACCCACGGAGCATGGCAAACTTGGCCCCCCGGCGAGCACAAAGCCTAACGAGAGGAGAGGTGCTCCATTGAACCCTTGGGAAGTTGATTCCATTTGCTTAAGTCCGGGATGTTCGCTTGTGATAGATTCCCTTTAAAACCAACGCGGGGAAATATACAAATATTCTTCAGCAAATGGAAGAAACAAGATTCAAAACAGCAACCAACCAGCGGTCTATACTCCTTCAGCCTCTGGGATAGCGAAGTAAGCATGCCCATGATTATCGCCCAAAAACCAGACGTACTTTCAAGCATCTCCGTGTCGCTTGCCGTCACACGGACTAGGGCACGGCAACATTACATGCAGTGATGGCTTCGAGCACACCCACCATGAGTCCGCTAGTTGTGACATTAATTTAATGGCGGTTGCAATCAACCAAAAATGGAATATTTGCTGATTCTGCAGATCCGGCCGCTCATTGTTTGCTCCATGCATGTTTCATCATTTCTTGGTTGGTTCCATTGCCTGGATTTCCAAATTAACACTTCTTCCGGCCGCCACTTGATCAAAACGGTAAGCCAACGCGGTAAACAGCATGGACCTTGGTGAATAGAAAAAAACGAATTCAAACAAGCAAGAATCATAGGTGGGGTTGCACCCCTCTTGGGTGAGGTCGGTAAAATTTGCCAGATGATCTTTTGCTATACCCAAACGCCGCACATTTGGCAGAGGGCCACACCCAGACAAGATTGTCCATTGCTCACATGGCCTTTGGAACCTGTAACCCCCTTTTTTACCTGAGCCAATCCATTTGGAGAACCATTTGACTCTAACCTGATTCGAGACAGATCCTGGAACAAATCCCCTACCTTCTCGACGGAAACCTCACGCCCGCTGTTCAACCAGGTGGCTTGGGCGTAACAAAATTAGGGGCCTGTGAAAAGATCCCTGAACTCCTTAATCGCTGTTCTTTCTTGCCCAAGACTTCAAGAGAGATCTTTCCCGGTCAAATGGGCTGCACCATCAAAAGCAACCCAAGAGGTCGTTTCATCAATTGGCCGAGCATCAGGGCCTCAGGTCCTGCTGGGCCTCTCAGGCTGCCCCAACCATCTCCGACCCGTGGCCCTCAAGTCACCCACCACACGTTTTCCTCCCTCAGGATCTTCCCTTGCAGGTCCTCCACAGAGGTTAGAACCAAAGGGTACCGTTTCTTTTTTCGGCTTGGTCGATTTTAGTGGGGCAACCCTCCCCCCCAAAAAAGTTGGTAGAACAATTGGGGGAGGGTTGCCCCACTAAAATAGACCAAACCGAAAAAAGTTGGTAAAAGAATGGGCACTCGGGGACTTTGCCTCGGAAAGGAGCAGCGGCGCCGGGGGCTGCAAGGGCCTGAGCGTCGTGTGTCTCCAAACGTTTTGGATGGCTTAAGGGAAACGGAAAAGAACACCACTAGTCATTTAAATCTGGAAGTAGGTGTGTCTCAAAACGTTTGGGATGGCTTTTGGGGGGCGCGGAAAAGAACACCATAAGTCATAGAAATCAATTGACTGCACCTATGTTCCCCATGTTGGCGGTTAAATAGTCTATGGAACTCCAGACCATCTCCTATAAATCAGGGCTGTTGAGATTCCAAATACTCACTAAGGCAATTCTAGTGTACGTGTTCCAGGTGATATATCATGGGTTTCGTTTCTTTTTTGTTCCGTTCAAAAACAAACCAAAACGGATGCACGCATTTAGAGGAGCAGTCATTCTTCAAAGCTCATTATTGCAGAGATCTCGCCCCAGCAGGCTGGGATTGAAACCAAGGCCGGCGCCTGGAATCTTTTCGGAACCACGTCCAATCCACTCACGGCCGTGAATTGGAAACCAACCAAAAAGGATTCTCAAAACGTAATTCAGTCCAGAAGCTTGGGAAACTGTTTTATTGCTCAACCGCAGCTGTCAACTAGATATGAACCCGTAACCAAGCCTAGGTCCTCCAGCGCAGAGGTTAGAGTGAGGGTACCAACTTTATTCAGGACGTCTATTTTAGTAGGGTCCCGAGCCCTCCCAACCAAAAAAGGGGGTGAGAAAGGGCACCGATCGCTGGGGGATCTAGTAGAAAAGCACCTGGCGAAAAACGAGATCCATCAAAGTCCCTGAGCTTCCGTGTCGACACCTGCAGCTTGCATCGAGGCCCCCGCTGCGGGAATGGCGGCACCTGGCTCGGATCCTGGAATGGGGAGAAGCCGCAACAATCTTACCCTATGCCTTACCCAGTAATTAAAACATGGCAAAGCAACAGGAGACCAACCAACCCACTCGCAACTTTCACACCTTCCTAAATAGATCCAACTTGCCCTGACCCAACCTATTGGAATCCTGTCGCAGCAATCGGGAACGCCCCAAGTGACGACAAAGACGGATAGTGCTAAAACCACTGAGGCGAAATGCTTAGGTGATTAAACAAACAAACAAACAAACAAGCACGCAAAGAAACAAGCAAACACACAAACAAACAAACAAACAAACAAACGAACGAGCGAGCGAACGAACGAACGAACAAACAAACAAACACACAAACAAACAAACAAACAAACAAACAAGCACGCAAAGAAACAAGCAAACACACAAACAAACAAACAAACAAACAAAAAAACAACAAAAACAACAACAACAAACAAACAAACAAACACACAAACAAACAAACAAACAAAACCAACTAAACAACACAACAAGCGCAAAACAAAACAATTAAATAAACAAACAAACAAACAAACAAACAAACAAACAAACAAACAAACACACAAGCACGCAACAGCTTGAACACTAAAACAAACAAACAAACAAACAAACAAACAAACAAACAAACAAACAAACAAACAAACAAACAAACAAACAAACAAACACAGAAACAAACAAACAAACAAACAAACAAACAAACAAACAAACAAACAAACAAACAAACAAACAAACAAACAAACAAAACCAACTAAACAACACAAAACAAACAAAACAAAACAATTAAATAAACACACAAACAAACAAACAACCACACAAACAAACACACAAACAAACAACCAAACAAACAAACAAAACAACATGAGCACTCTTTGTTGTTGGTCGTTGGCAGAAGCTTGGAGAAACAAAAACTTGCCATCAAATAGTCGAGCTCCCTTCTCATACTTTGGGACAACGCCCGAAAACAGTACAGTAGCACACAAAAGCGACAAATCATCAAAACCAACACCACTCCCCCACTCCCCCACCCAAACTGTAGCGACGTGGGACCATCAAAACTGATCTGATAACCCCAATCTGCAGCACTGCGTGTTGAAAGCCCGACGGGAAGTTGCCCGCAGGCTCTTGGAATCATCCTAAGTTGTGCCTTGTCTGAGTTCCTTTGCGGGCACATGGATTTGATTTGGCCTTTTGGGCATGTAAACCACATTTTTTTGGAGGTCACCCAATTGGGCGGCGGCCAATGGTGTCGAGGGTTTGCTTACGTTTTGGTGATTGTTCCATTTCAATCCAAAGGGGCGGAAGGCTTTGAACACCCAGGCAGACAGCTGAAACTCACCCTCACCCTCAACATGGGACATGGCTTTGCGAGTTTCACCCATGGACTTTTTCGCTGATGTTCCAACGTGTAGAGGAAAGTTTTTTCAGCATTCCGTCTGTGCAGGTGGCCCGATGGTTCGGGTGCTTCCGAAGCCTCTTTAAAAAAATCAACTTCGGAGCGGTTCGACTCTGTCCGAAATTTGAGTGACTAACTTACCCCTTAAAACTCCAAGCCCTGGGGAAGTTAATCTTTTACAGACATATAGCCCATGTTACCCAAAAAGTTGAACAGTTGTGTCTTTAAGAGGTAAGCTAAGAACCAAGAACGGTCTCTTTCAGACTGTGCCTACAAAAGACGTGCAAGAACACACCAGCCTTCCGGGAAGGTTCCTCTCATGTTCCAAAACAGGCAGTGAGGGTCTCAATACCCAGCCCTCTCCCATCATCTGACCCCGGCCTCTCGCAGTGGCGTCGAGGAATACTCTGCCTCTCACGGAACTCGGCTGTGGGACTCCGTTTTTAAAGAAGAAGCGCACAGCTTGGCGCACGATTGATGAACATGTCCCCGCTCAATACTCAGATGGGGAATCGCACGCTTTATAGAAGCAAATATGACTTTCCACGGACATTTGGCGGTGGTTCAAAAAATCGGTATCAAAATGGATCCCTGTTAAGTGGAAACATGGACCAAAACCTGCGTAACCCCTCCCCTTTAATTTTGAGCCACACCCATTTGTTCAAAACATCATGCCAGCAATTGAACTGTCAGGGACCATCTATTCTGATTTTACAAGGCGAATGCTGACGGCTCCACGCTAGATCATGGCTTGGAAATCCGAATTGATGAGGTTCTCGTCGGGAGGGTAGTTCAAAGGCCCGCAAACAGCAGTGAAGCAGCGCGGTTGTGTCATTCGCAGTGAACTCTTTGTGGGGGAAACTTGGTTTTTTCTGATGTTCGGATAGTGACGCCCAAGCCAGTAGTCTAACCCTCAACATTTAAATGGCTCAACATCCAGATTGGACATGCAGCGACTTGTGCCAAGACCAAAAGACACCTCGAATGTAAGAACTGTCCTTGACGGGTACCCAATTTTGACGCCCATTGCTAGGTGCGTAAAGATATAATCCGCATCACAGTCTTAATAACCTTAGGCCTTTTGCCCAGTGACTCAAATTGACGCCGTGATTTATTTGTCCGATTCAGGGCAAGTTGCTCCGAACAAAATGAATCAACGTGTCAGGAAATGACACGGATTGGGGATGTCGCTGAGTTTTAAAACCGCTCAGACGCACCATGTGCCCTTTGGATGGTGGGTTTCCTTGTGTCTTCCCATTAAAAGCAATCAATGAGGGTACCTCAAGAGGCCAGAGCCAGTGCGCAAACTTACCCGAAGATTTCCGTACCCGGCCTCCGGCCCGGTGTCTGACCTGGGAAGGCACATATTTGGTGAATATGGTGCGCAGTCGTGGGCATGCAGCTCAGCCCAAAAGACCCAGACAAATCAAAGATTCAAAACATAGTCAACCCAACTTTTGCTGCCTTTTGCTCAGAGGGTCACTGGACAGGAGAAAGAAAGAAGAAGAAAAAACAACAGGCAAACAGGCCTGGGGGTTGAGGGGGCCCAAGCCCTGGGCCAGCTGTTTTTCACATGAGGCTCGATGAACATGTCCAATAGTCTAAGGCCAACTCTAATTTTCCCACAAAACCATGGAGACTGGTTGGATTTCCCTCAGTTGCCCAAAGCCGACCTTTTGACCTTTTGGTTTTTCTGATTTGGCCAATTTTTAGTCAAGGCTTTCTGGGGAACATGGCCACTTCTGGCTCACTCCAGTGCCTGCCCGCTGCCATGGAGACCCGGAGCCCTTTTGTCGAGGGTACACCATGGTCAACCAGGGAGTTTTGAATCCGTTCCAATTGCTCACCAGCCGAGCCAAAATGGAGCTTGTCTGTTGGCGGCTAGGGTCACCCTCACAAAGCCCCGTGCAGTTGCACTCTGTTCAGGACCCACCAAGTATTTGGCCATGAATCTTGAAAGTAAAGCAACCACCACCACACCTGGCAAATTGATCTGTTCCACTGGTTGATCCTCTTCCCGGGTTGCCACGGGTACAGCCCGGCCCCTTTCTTGTGAGTTTTGCCAGTTCTTCCGCAAGGGATTCACTTCAAGACTGGCCACATGTTTCCATACATGTCTCCAACTTGCGGTGGTCATTAAAGGGTTCGTCTTCTTTGCAGATCTCCTTTTTGGGTTGGTTCAAAGGGAAACTGTTAAAAGGAGACCGCCAGCTTGCGGCGGGTCTGCCATTTTGCGAGAACCGCAACCCCGGCACTGGGGTTTAGGGCCGCTGGGGCGTCGCTGTGTTGCTGGCGGTGGTCGGCGCCGAGGAGAGACCTCATGATTTTGGCACAGGGGACACGGTACCATGTATGTATGTACGTGGACGTCTTTCTGCTTATTATGCACTCCACCCCCGCCCCTTGATCTACAATACTAATGGGGCACCTCGAGCTCCAACACATACCTTGGGAACAGTGAGATATGATTTGTTGATTCAGTATGGAAGGAGATATTCAAGTGTTTGAGGGTAAAAAAATCCAGCCAGGCTTGAGTTGGCGTCATGTGCCACCGGGGTACATTGGATACCGCCTTTTCACTGGGAGAGTCCTGGCGTGTTGAACCTCCGGTGCTTCAAGAAGCCCGTTTCTTTGCGAGATTAGAATGGCAAGTGGCGAAAACAATAGATGGCAAACACGTTTGTTAACAAATTAGCCGACACCATAGCTTGGGATGTGTTGGTCGTGCGCACAGTGACACAAGCCATTACATATTTCAGATGTAATTTCAAATTGAATTGCTCATACCTGCTTTAGTGCCTTCAATGCCATGACATGTGCACAAATCGCCGCACGGGTACGCCGACTCAGCAGTCTGAACGCGCAAAAAAATCAGTCTGCGTTGCCGCCACAACATGACGTGGGTCAATTGCAGGCCGCCATTGATCCTTAGGCAATCTTAGGCATCTTCTTGTGAAGGACCGCCCCTTGCCTGCAAGGCAGCAGGGTGCGAGACTGTTCTTCTTGGCAATCCCTGACAGGTATCCCTTTCCGGGCCGCAGGAATAGCGCTGCCGTGGGCTGACTCATTTTCCGCATGGCCTGCCTTTCAGCGCAGATGGCTCTGAGAGCGGGGGTAGCATCCGTGCTGGCATGAACGTTTGTGTGCTTCACCTCTGGCGAAGGTTTGCATGCGACACGTGGCATACACCAGTCAAAAGAACTCACAGTCAGACAAACGCCCTTGATCGCCGAATGGCCTTGTCGCGTGCGAACTACTTTGCGGGCCTTCGGTAAATCAATGTCTAGGATAGAGCCAAGGCCTAAATGAAAGTCAGACCAATTTGCCTTGTCCTGGCATGACAGTTTTGTGTTTGATGATATGAATCGGCGACCACTTCCAGCATGGAGGCTGTAGGCTTTTCTGCGCGCATGTACGAATAAGTACATGGATCCTCCGAGCAAAAAACTTTGCAAATAGCATTTGACGGCAACATGAGTGTGTGTAGCGCTACATACGAATCCGCTAAGATCACACGTCTCCTCGATCAGCTACGCCAATCTACTTGACCCCCAGCCAAGAACATTAATCGTGCTTATATACTTCGTTTCATCCCACCAAAGCAACATGGCTTAACAGCTGAACACACATGGGCAAACACAGCGACATGGACACCAGTGATGTCCGCAGTAGCTACAAAGAGAAACAACCAACGCCGGCAACGAACAACGACAAAAGGAAAACCGGCTGCTGCAGCGGCATCAAAGAACAAGCAGCAAGAACACTTGCACGTAAAACAAGCGAAACAACATCACTGGAAAGCAACACTCACTTGCAGGAATCTAAACCTTGAAAGCAGAGCTCACTCTCTCACTCGCACTGACTCACACTGACTCACACTGACTCACACTGACTCTCACTCAGACTCACTCACACTCACTCACACTCACTCACGCACACTCGAACTCACTCACTCACTCACTCACTCACTCACTCACTCACTCACTCACTCACTCACTCACTCACTCACTCACTCACTCACTCACTCACTCTCACTCTCACTCTCACTCTCACTCTCACTCTCACTCTCACTCTCACTCTCACTCTCACTCTCACTCTCACTCTCACTCTCACTCTCACTCTCACTCTCACTCTCACTCTCACTCTCACACTCACACTCACACTCGCACTCGCACTCACACTCACTCTCACTCTCACTCTCACTCTCACTGACTCACTGACTCACTGACTCACTGACTCACTGACTCACTGACTCACTGACTCACTGACTCACTGACTCACTGACTCACTGACTCACTGACTCACTCTCACTCTCACTCTCACTCTCACACTCACACTCACACTCACACTCACACTCACACTCACTCTCACTCTTACTCTCACTCTCACTCACTCACTCACACTGACTTACACTGACTCACACTGACTCAAACTGACTCACACTGACTCAGACTGACCCACACTGACTCACACTCACTCACACTGACTCACACTGACTCAAACTGGACTCACACTGACTCACACTCACTCACATTGACTCACACTGACTCACACTGACTTACACTGACTCTCACTCAGACTCACTCACTCACACTCACTCCCACTCACTCTCACTCACACTGACTCACACTGAATCACACTCACTCACACTCACACAGACTCACACTCACTCTTACCCACTCTCACTCACTCTCATTCACTCACTGACTCACTGACTCACTCACTCATTCACTCAGTCACTCGCTTACCTCACCTCACCACACCCCACCCCACAGCCCTCACCTCACCACACACACACACACACACGCACTTTGTATCCACCCGCGCCTGGCGAGTCTTTTCCAAGCTGCATCAGCTTCTGCGCCAAGTCGGTGAGTACCTGCGGGTCGCGGGAATCAAAGCATCGGCCATGGGCAGATATGAATACATAATATACATGCAAAGACATCATACATATAATACGCATTAGTATTATATCATGTACGTATTATGTATGTACTATGTATACATTCCGTGTATCAATATTTGTATTTTAGACGTAGCATGTACGTATATGTACTGCACAGGGGCCCAGGAGTGCTTTTTCATCTGCGCGCCAGACAAAAAGAGGAAACTAGATCTGCTGTACTTCTGCGCGGCCAGGAATAACATTTAAGCCGCTTTGCTGACTGTCTCCCTGGGCCAAACTCGTGCTCGGCTCGCGCTTGTGCTTGGCTGATGCTCGGTTCGTGCGCAAATCCGTGCGCTCGGTTCGTACTTGGGTCGTGCTCAAGGGGAGGCTCACGGGTCGTGCCCGGTTCGCTCACACACCATGGCCATGCCTTGCCCACGCTTACCTGCACAACAAAACAAATGCCTGGTGCAAACAAAAGAGCACTCTGGGGTCCCAGTACTATCAAAGGCACACCCCTATGTGCCGGGACTAATAGGGGTGTATGGGACTTGTGGCCAAGCCAACCCTGCTGTATGAACAATTGGCAATGAGTTTGAATGAAGAACAACTTCAAAAATGATTGGTGTCTATTTCAGGAGGAGGCCCCTCCCCAAAAAAAGGGTGAGAAAGGGCACTACTGGGGGACCTAGGAAGAGACTTTGTCCAAACTGAGGCCCCATTCGCTTCGTCGCCTGCTTGAGGGCCTGGTTCTCGCGCTCCAAGGCCGCCTGCTGCTCCTTGCACCTGCGAAAACCGCCACGGCGGTAAAGCCACCGGTGGGTTGGGCGCCCCATGGGCGCCCCACTGGGTCCGGCAAAAAAGACCCATACACTGAAACGCGTTGCGCAGGAACTTTTTGCTTCGCGAACAGCTCAGGCAAAGGAACAAAACCATGATTGAAAGCCACGTTATGTTTACAGCTCAGAAAAAGAAACAGGGGCCCCTGTCTGGTGTTGCCAGCTTGAACGCCCAAGTCTCAAACAGGACCCTTCATTGCATCTTTCGACTTCTCCAAGGCCTTACAAGTCACAGGGCGCACTGCTCCTGCCAAGTGTCACAACATCTGCCCGCGAAAACTACGTACTAGTCAAAACGTAACAACACAACTACAAGACATGACAAACAAAGAAGGACACAAATAAACACACAAAAGACACAGCAAATGTCCAGGGCCCAAACTGCACAATCTGCGCCGTCAGCTGCTCGGTCTTCTCCTGCTGCTTCTTTTGCACCTATCGCAAAAGGCCACAAAAAAAGGACTTGCGCCTTGTGAAATTTGGGCTTTCTTCCCAAAGCTCGCATGATCACTCCGCAATGAGGTTGAGTCGGTGCAGCTCGTGGATCTCGCGCCCGCGATTAGACAGGATTCCGGGATTCACTTCTCGGGACAACGCCTCGGACTTTTCCCAAGCACCAAACCAGCCCAAAATGTCAACCAGCCTGTTCACCAATGCCCATAGCAATCCTATTGGGAAGCTTGTTGTCGCGTGCAAATAGGTCCTGGATATTGGACACCAGAGCGTCCGAAAAATCCCAGCATGACGTATCCTCCCCCAAGGAATCAATGTGCAAGAGGGTAAACTTCTCAAAACAATGAATAAGCAATGAGGGCCATTCCGCCCCCCCGAGCCGGGTTCCAATTGGCTTTCTGTGTGTGTCCACCATCATGTCCACATATTGCGAATTGGGTCGAACATAGGCCACAGTCCTGTGATCGCCCCATTCTGAGGAGTGAGCTTTCATCCTGGGAATGCGGCCTGGTCCTTTGGCTGGGGAACTTTGGCATGAGGGCACCTACATTATCTCATGATTTGTGGGTGGCCACAAATCACCTTTCAAGGTCTGAAAAGGAGCACCCTGAAAGCTTGATGATCACCAATCGCCAATGCTCTCTAACCCGTTCGATTATTCAATCATGGCAGGACCTTCGGTTGAAATCCACTGGCATAATCCCAATGTTCCCGTCAGTGGCCAAGTTTTGCCAGCTGCGCAACCTCGGAACAGGCCACTTGGGATGTTAAGCCCAGCCCCCCTGATGCCCAGAACTCCGGTCGAACCTGCGCCAACATCTGCTGGCCCTTCTGCCACACTTCGTCCATCTTCTCAGCGACCTCGCGGGATCGGGCAGGGTCAAACTGAGACACCCCACCAAAAGCCACTCTTTGCCGGCCGACAGAGAACCAAAATGGAAAACACAAAGGATAGGTGGCTACAACAGGTCAAGGTAAGCTAAGTCTGGTAATCAAGGCATGCAGCCTGATGAGGCGCAATAAAGAAGAAATGCGGTTTGACCATGGACAAAGCGTTTCTCCGGCACAGGACCAACGCATTGGGTTTGTGTCTCAATGGAACCCCCGACCCCCCGCCCCTGGCAAAACACAAAGTTTCCCGAAATCAAACCCCGAAAAGGGAACCGGCCCTCAAAAACGAGAACAACCATGTGGCAGGACTCCCTGCACTTCAAAACACGCCGTGGACCCAGTTGAGCGTCAGCGTGGGTTACGAAATGACCTATTCAGAGTGGGACTAACCTTTTAATGAGCTATTATTCAGAGTGGGGCTAACCTTTTTGCATGTTCAATCGAAAGTTTGACTTTGCCCAAATGATTCCAAAGATCTATTGGCTCAGCTTTTGCCCCCCACCAAAAAAGCATGCTAAGAGAATTTGAAATTTCTAGCCAATGGTCCACCAAAGGCCAAACATGATCCCTATGCTGGTTTTGCGAGTTCCTTGAAAAAAACAAAGCGCATAAAAGCCAATCTAAGCCGGTGGAATCCGCAGACTCCATCTATGTCCACATAAACCAGCCAAAGGACTCCCGTGAACGCCCTATGTTTCACTGCCTGACTCGACCTCCGCGCCTTAGCCTCGATATCTCGCAGCACGGCCTCCCGCACCGCCTGAATTGTCGACTGGCTCGAGTGGCCCGGTGTCAGGCCGTAAGGCCGCTGGGCTGATGGGAAACCATGGGAACACACGGCCCTCCCAATGAAATTGAGGGGTTCCCGAACGCCAGGAGGGTTGTATTCAAGCCTTAGGATTCTGGGAATCCTTCAGGCCTTCGTTAGGTGTGTACTCCAGCTGATGAAATTGAAGGGCTGCATATACTGAATATACTCAAGCGTTTGGCATCATCGCTTTGAGGGGATTTTCTGCCACGAGAGGTTCTTTCGCGCCGGGATTCGCTAGACGCCTGGCGCCAAGAGTGTCCAACTTCTAATGCCAGCAGCCTTTTTCAAACACGCGGACAGGTGGTTTTCAGTCCGTGCGCTTGCAGTGTCCCGATCGTTCTAGCTGCTCAGTCCCGTGTGCAACTGAACAAGGTCTCTTGTCCTTTGACCCCACAATATGTCCATGTATCCATCACGTTGCCCATTCACGTTGCCCATTCCCGAGCATTCGGCGGTACAGATTCACTTTCCATTCACTGACACGACTGAGCTGTCCGCCGCCCTAATCTGTGAAACCACGAGGGAACCCTTTCGGAACCTAAGGATCTTCCGGATCGAACCGAATCCGCCAACAGTCGAGGGGAGTTTGTTTGGTGGGTTCCCAAGGAGTGGAGAGCCACGGCTCAAATTAGTTGCTCACCCACAAGGAACCAGTAAAGGGGGCAATTCAGACAAAACATTAGGCATGGTTGCCATTTCCGCCATTTCCCGGCTTCTGAGACATTACAATTCCCAAGTCTTTGAGCATTCTAGTTCATTAAAGGCCATCCTCTTTGCATTGAGTTTGATAGCAAGCGAATGCTTTGGGGTTGCGTCACACCGGAAGTGCCGGCGGCCCGCCTCGTGTGTAGATGCCTCCTGCATCGACACAGGATGTTCAAGCACTTCGCTCGAGGACTGCTTGAGTATGTGTTGTACTATTGAAGGGTCTTGTGTCACCACATGCTGACACATAATGGCAGACATTGGAGGCCAATTTAAGCTATTTCCTTGAACATTTCCAAATGCGATGTGGCTGCTCGCCTTGCAAGCAGTAGCCAGCGGCTTACGCTCCGTTGCAGGACGCTCCCCGTTCCTGACGTGTCGCGTGTCACACTTATACCATTGCACAAATTGAGGCTTGTTCAAACATGGCCCATCATGCGACCCCTTAGCATCGTCCTTAGAGTCGCTTCAACCCTCGGACACTGGGCGAAAAAAGCAACCTAACAACATTCGGACGATATATTACACGATAACGGACTTTTTTTTGCCACCTCGGTGTTCCCGTGCCCGAACTACATCTGCTTGGGATTGTTCGCACTTCTTCAAACGGTGAATATTGTGGACATCTCTGGCGATACGGTTGATAAAAGAAGTTGTGCATTGCATATATTGCAAATACCTCAACACGTCAGCAAACAACTTTGACTTTTTTAGCCCAAATATGAACAACCCCAAAACATGCCACAGAAACACTTGACTCTTCCGGTTTGGTGTTTCAAAGTGGAATCCTATGACGATAGCCCTGGAGAAAGATAGCACCCATGGCCCCATGTGAGCAGGTTCGTTTTGGCCTAATATACTGCCAGCCATGCCGACGCGTAGGCTCCGCGGGTGTGCAACACTGTGACGCGAGCCTACAACAAGCGCCTACGCGGAGTGCCTAGGCAGACTCTCTCGGGCGCTACTGCTGCTCTCAAGTCATACCAACGAGCTTGTGTATTATGGTAAAACCCGCCTACGCGAACCTGCATACGCTGGAATTTCTTGAACAACCTGGCGGACTGCCTACGCGAATCGCTTCCCACACTAGAATTGCCTATGCGGTGCCTCCGCGAGATAAAAGGAGTTCCCCCTGAATACTAAGCAAATTCCTAGCGACATCTTGGGATGGAGGACAGGACAGGAAAGGGCGTTCAGGGAGCCTAAAACACAAAATAAGGCATTTGAGCGGCAAGTCAAAGTGATAGACCACAAACAACTAAATATGTTTTGCCAGAACTCGAATCGACAACGGCATGGCACAAGTGGAGTGCGTTGGCAAACGCTGACTGGCGTGTCACACCAGCTGCCAATTTCCAGCAGTCTTTCCGCAATTCAAGGACCTAGGTTGACAGGAAGCCCTGGAAATATCGATGATGCCTCTTTTTTCAAGTGGTTCACAGGGGTCCAAGCCCTGGATACCGACGATCCCTCCTTTTTCAAGTGGGCCTGCTGCAAATTCCGACGCAACAACTCACCTCAAAAACAACCCAAGACATCAGAACCGATCACCCGAGCCGAGCCGAGCTGCCTGGGCACTAAGGCCCGGAGGAGCCGGGAAGGGCCTGGGCCACGGCTATGGCACGGCTATGGCTATGAAACGTTAGGTCCTTGACCCCAAGGTCCTCCAGTTTTGGAGGTTCGAATTAGTTGGTACCAACTTTCTTCTGTCTGTTTTAGTAGGTCCCCCAAAACAGGGCACTACTGGGGGACCTCGGTAACGCAGATTATGGGCCTGGGCCAAAATGCAGGCCAAAGATTGGGGGGGCAACTTCGTGGCCAGAAAATGATGGGGATGTATCTCCGGAAAGGTGAGCAACTTGGTCCCATGTGCGAAAGCAAATGGGAGTCAACCATTCCCAGTTCTACACCCAAACATCGGTGCCTTTGTTCTTGCGGCCTCTTGCCAGAATCCAATATAAGCACCACACTGTCACATAGCCACGCTGGGAGTTGAGCCAGTTGAGCCAGTTTGAGGCTACCGGGTACTTTGCTGCAGGCTTGTGGCAAAACCTTGTTTAAATGCTTAAGCATCCCTTATTTGAACAATCTCCCCACTGATTTATGA